GAACTTCATAAGAAGTCAAACAATGCCCCCAGAGAGGCACTGACCTCAGCCACCTCCCTGGTAATTTCAAAGCTCCACTGATCAATATTTCTTCCCAATTTGGCATCTCATAGAGGATTTCCTCCTAACCCTAGAATAGTCAGACCTGGTTCCTTTCCTCTGGTTAGTTCTCTGCAGAAGCTGGCTGGCAGATCAGAGGCCTGAACACCAATGCTCCAAGAGATAAGGAGGCATTCTCTCTCAGTGTACGGTTACCAAAGGACAATTATTGGTAACACATCTTAGAGTTTTAATAATTAGAAGGAGGAAACCACATTGTTCTAAGCTTATTGATATGGGGTCCTGGGCCCAGCATCAGGAGAACTTTACAGACTTGTTTTGAAGTTGTCTAATCCTGATTCCCACTGCTATATAAAGCCAGTGGAAAAGCCCAAAGATCAAGGGGGCTAAGGGAAATCTCCCAGAAGCTGAGTTAGGACCTCCTCCCCCATATTGAACCCATGGCCTCCCACATACTAGAAAAGCTCTCTACCACTGAGCCACACCCTCAGCCCTACAGTCTCTTTTTGAACATAGATGAGCACTGGAGATGTGGAAAGACTGATACAAATACAGCAGCCAAGTGAGCGCTAGATTTAAACATAATTAAGTACCTGTGAACTAGAATGGGCAATAGAGAAGGCTGATCATTCTTATCAGCCTGTGTATTTCCTTCTTGGTGCCCCTTACATCCTTGATTAACTTGCTTCTTTGCTTGTTGTCTATCTGACCCCTTTTGAGGCAGGCTAGAAGTAGGAAAAGTTTGGGGCTTATGTAGGTTGCCTGGGGATGGACCAGACCACCCTCACCTGGCTGGGAGCTGCCCATGCCCCTCTCCACTCATTCATTATTGGGTGGGAGCCTCTTAGGCCTGCCCTCACATGGGGTAGGGTAGGTTTTAAAAGCATCTGAAAAATAAAAGCACACACTCTCTCTCAGCCAGTGGACTCCACCTGTGCCCCACCATGCCCTCTTCTTTCTGCTTCCCTTCCCTCACCTGGCAGACAAGTGACCCTTTCTCTCAATAAAGCTACCCTACCTCACCCCATCCATGTGTTCTGCTTGTATTTTTCCATCTGGAGCACAAAAACCAGGATCTTCTGGTCACATTTGAGTGCTGAAACCTTGTCTGTCTTCTCCGTATTATGGTGCTCAGCCAGAACATGGCCTACAATTGATGCTCAATAAATGTGTTGTTAGCTGGATGCCAGTGGCTCACACCTGTAATCCTAGTTACTCAGGAAGCAGAGATCAGGTGGATCATGGTTTCAAGCCAGCCCGGGCAAATAGTTCATGAGACCCTATCTTGAAAACATCCAACACAAAGTAGGGCTGGTGGAGTGGCTCAAGCAGTAGAGTATCTGCCTAACAAATATGAGCTCTGAGTTCAAACCCCAGTACCACCACCAAAAAAAATGTGCTGTTGAAGGGGATGAATATGATCAAAGTATATTATATGAAATATCACAACAAAAAATCCCATTTTGTACAGTTAACATGCACTAATAAAAGATATCATTGGATGAATGGAGAAATGATCATGAGCCATACTAATTAAGGAAGAGGTAGACCTTAAGCTGCATGTAGAGTATGGGTCCATCTTTGTCTCTCCTTGGAGGTGGGGACAGGTTCCATTGCTTGTGTAGACACTGGCTCAGGTCCACAACTGGCACTAACATGTGGTTATAGCGTGGACCTTCTTCCTCTCAGGGCTGGCCTCACCTAGGTGCTCAAATTTTCTTTGGTTCATGTAACTATTATTCCTTGGGCCCAGGCACTGGTCTAGGCCTTGGAGCAGTGGAAAAAGACAACAAAAATGCTTGCTTACATCTCTTAGCTTCTGGGGGAGGAATAGACAGTAAATAAGAATGTGCAAGATGGGGGACATCATCATTGATGAGCATGAGGGAAAGGGCCCTGCCTCCCAGAGGGGGAAAGGGAGGTGTTTAGATGTCATTGGAAAAGAGTGTTTCAGAGTGGCTCGGTCAGACACAGGTCCTGAGGGGGCAGACCTGGCTTGTTGGGGAGCAAGAAGGGAAGCTGGTGGGTGGGGTGGTGGTGGGGGAATGGGAAAGGAGGTGAAGTCTGGGGAAATTCTTTTTTCCCAGGATCCCTCTTCTCATGTCCCACATGATCTTGTCCTAGAAACCTAACTGGGAGTGGTGGGAGATGCAGAAAGGACAAAAACAGAAGACCAAACATGCACAAAGCTGGGGCCAGGTAGGCTGGGTGCTCAGATGGAAACACACAACAGCCAGCTCCACCTTCAGCAAGTTTATTATATACAGATGGAAACACACAACAGCCAGCTCCACCTCCAGCAAGTTTATTATATACAGTGGCAAAATGAGGTGGAACAGCAGTTCTCTGGGATGAGGCATGACATTGTAATTCTCAGGAACAGGAGGAACCTGTGACCGCTTCTCTCTGAATGTAAACATCTTAGGAAAAAAAGCTGTGCTACATCTTGCCCCCACTTCTGTGGCTGGGGCTGTGCCAAACTCAGCCTGCAGTTTATTGGGCACAGCTGTGCTTATGTACTCCTCTCTCCACACCTCTGACTGCTGGCTTGCAGATGGACTTAGGGGCTCAGATAGGAGTTAAGGATGAAGAGAAGGTTGCTATGGTCATCTGTGTGATCATGATGGGTTAGGGAAGAAGAGGAACTTGTGGGAGGTGGTTAGGTCAGATAAGGCATCTGTTGTGTGAATTTCCTGGGGGAGGGTGTCTAAAGAGTGGTGTATCTCCAACTAAGGTGTTGTTGACAGTCCAAAGACTGACTCAAACAAGTGTAGCTTGAATGATTGTTAAGTTTTAATAGGGGCTTCTTACAGATCAGTGGATGATTACAGGGCTCTGTATTTATCTGGCCTGGCCCATTACTCGTCACCCTGCCCTCCAGAACCCCCAAGACTGCCAGCCCCACCTTACCAAGCTCCTATTTATATGGCTGTGGATAGCAGAAACCTGGACAGAGATCGCCACCTTGTGTTAATATGCTGAAGTAACTGCAGGCTCAACATGAGCCATAGGACCCTGGGAAATTACTTGTTTGAATGTGTTTAGTCCTTGCTCTTGCTGACCTTCACTGACAGTATATTATCACGGGAAGGAGGGCTTGTTGTGCTGCAGTCTGGCACATAGAACAACTAAATAGCTACAAGATGGAATTAATCTGGCTAGGAGTCAGAGAACTGGTCACACTGCAGTATCTGGACTTTTTTTTTTTTTTTTTTTGGTGGTACTGGGGTTTGAATTCAGGGCTTTGCATTTTCAAGGCAGGCACTGTACCAATTGAGCCACACCTTCAGCACCACACTGCAGCATCTGGGAGGAGAGTAATAAGGGATAGACTGAGGCTTGTAGTGGGAAGGGTACAGCTGGCATCAGAGAAGCAGAACAGTTATGGGAAAGATGGAGTCTCCATATGGGGTCACCATGGGCCTTAGACATCTCAGTGGTGATGTCCAGAAGATGACTGGTCGTCAGTGCCTGAGTCATGGGGCATGGTAGTGAGGGGTCACCACTGGGCCAAAGAGGTGTTTCCTGATGTGATCTGAATGTAACTGGTAAGGGAGGGAACAAGCAAGGGAGGACAGAGCCAGAGCACTTGAGGGTCCAAACTGGAGGAGTAGCCTGTGAGGTGGGTGAGCAGCATGGAGGGGCCCCTGGGAACCCAGGGAGGATGGGGCCTCATGAAGGTCTCAGTTCATTGTCTTTTGCCATTGTCCAGTCCTTGGCTTTCCAGTAGGACTGGCAGGAGAGCAGCAGGGAACGAGACCAGGTGGAAAAAGAATCTTTAGGATGGGTACCTTGGAGGACCAAACAGATTAGCACCCTCAAAATCCCAGCTCAGAGAATTCTCCCTCTAGTCTGGGTAGAGGGAGAGAAGCACAATGCTCCAATTCACTCCAAGCTGGACTGTTATCTCACTCCATGCCTTGTTAGCTCTGTGTGGCCTTTATGAAGTTAATAGAGTCACTTCACCTATGGGAGACCTCTTACACCCAGGCCTGCATAGGGCTAAATGAGGTGGTATATGGCTCCTACTTGGGGGCTCCTAGTTATGGGCTCCATTATCATGGAGCAAAGTGGCCCTTCTGGCCAGGTCCAGAGGCAGCCAAACTGAGTCCTGAAACTCAGGGACACCATGATCCCCTTCATCTTCCCTCAACCCCTCCCTGCAGATGTAAGGGGCATCTAATGAGCTGGGGGTAGAAGCTGGGGACAATAGTACCAGATCCTACACTCTGCCTCCAAAGTCCCACACCTTACTCCTCCTCCACTGAACAGCCCCATGACCTCACTGTGAAGACCACACAGAGTTCTACAGGCAGAATACAGTACAAGCAGCTGCTACATGGTGGTTCTCTCTTTTTCTCTCAACTACTAGAGTTTTTTTCTTTCTTTCTTTTTTTTTTTTTTTGTTCAGCACTGGGGTTTGAACTCAGGGTCTTGCACTTGCTAGGCAGGTGCTATTGCTTGTTATTGCTTGAGTCATTCTGCCAGCCCCCCCACCCCCTTTTTTGTGATGGGCTTTTTTCAATATAGGGTGTCTTGAACTATTTGCCCAGGGCTGGCTTTGAACTGCCATCCTGAGTAGCTAGGGCTAAAGGCATCCACCAGCGCCCTTTCCAACTTTGTGTGTGTGTGTGTGCTGTAATGGGGTTTGAACTCAGGGCCTCATGCTTGCTAGGAAGGTACTCGACCACTTGAGCTACTCCGCCAGCCCAACTCTTTTAAGAGTTGTGACTTGGGTTTAAACCAGGAATATTATGATTAAGGGAAATCTAAGAAATGCAGTTCTCAGCCTTACCACCTTGAACAGCCGGGCTGAAATATCGCCCATTTCCCAGAGGGTGACGTGGAGGCCGCCCCGGCTGGGACAGAGCGCACGCTCTGGGGACCGGGTGTCATAAGCCTCCGGGCCGGAGGCGGCAGCAGCGGGCGGACGAGGGGGATACATTGTAGCGATGGCGGCCGGACCGGTTACAATGTAGCGGTGGCAGCGGTCAGGTGAGCTGCGGAGTGGGCTCCATGGGTCGCAGGTGGGGGCTGACCGGGAAGCGAGCGGGGGTGCTTGGCCTCGGGGGCGCAAGCGGTCGCCTGGCCCTGGGCTTCCGAAGCCCGGTTTCCGACGCACAGAGCCATTTGGAGGCCCCGATGCGCCCGAGGCAGGATTGAGTCTCCCGGCTTCGGGCAGCCCGCCTCCGGCCGGCTCCCGGGAGCATCGGACTTAGTGACCTCAGCTGTTCCGCACTTCCGCGGGCAGGGTTAATCATTCCAAGAAGGGGAGCCCCTCCCTAGGCGACTGTCAAAGAGCGTCTGTGGGGTACCCGTGAGGCCCAGGGACCCGCAGAACTGCTGCCTCCCTGCCATGATGAACTACGCTGAGACTCTTTTTCTCATCTATGAAATGGGTGGGTGTTGTAACAGAGACCTGCCCCTGTGAGGACAGGAGTATTCCCAGGTGAATTCAAGTCGTGAGTGAGGAGGAGAAGAGATGGTTCTGGGGTGGCTCTTTGCAGTCCGCTTCAGTGGTCTGGAATGGTAACATTCTTGCCGGCCCTAGTCCTAGCCGGCCTTGTTCCAGGTATGAGCAGATAGAGGTACTTTATCCCCTTCCAGGGTGAATACTCAAAGTCTCCAGGTGGTAGCTGGAGTAGTAACCATTTTTTGGTGACTGTACCATGGGCAATGCATGGGAGGCCTACTCCTTATGCCATGAGTACATTTTTAGCTTCAGCCCAGTGTCCCTTGGTATCCCAGAGCCCCCAGGGCTTTACACTAAAGTTTGTTTTAATTGTTAGGTTGTGTTCCCCGCCCCCACCCCACCCCAGCTCCCCAGGAAGGGAGAGGGCTCCAGAGGGGCAGAGGGCAGAGCAGAGGGTTTCTTCAGTCTCCTCTTTCTGACCTGGTCCTTGCTGAAGTCAAGCCTGAATTCTGGGTACAGAACTCTGCAGGAGTGAACCTGAGGTATAGGAGGCTGATGCTCTTCTCAAAGTCAGCTGCTGCTCCCTGCAGCTGTGTGCTGTGACATCAGCCATCTGCCCTCAGCCTATAGGGAGATAAGATTCCTTAACCTAGCTGGAGAAAAACTGGTGCCCACAGAGCAAATTGCTCCATGGATTCGTTCATCTGCTGCTTTTGTGGTATTGTTGCTCAGGAGGTGAATAAGGGAAGCTTTTTCTTGGGGAGACTGCATCACAGAGGAGAGTTGCTGAGAAGGGTGGAGATTTTCCTGCCAGGGTGCTGTCTTTGAGCCTCTCCAGCCATATTTTAAAACATCAGGAGGCTTCCAGGGAGAGCTTCTGGGGGTGGTTCCTCATTCTCAACTCCAGTCCCTTTTGACTGTATTGACAATGACAGTTCAGCAGCAATGCTGGACTTCTGGCTGACATACGCACTTAGCTCTGCCATCCAGGCAGCAGGTATAGTCCCTGACATCATGGGAGAGCCAGACTTTAAATCAGAGCTTTCTGATTCTCAAAAATAATAGTAATGATGACAATAGTAAGTTGGGCTGATATTTATTGGGCGCTTGTTATGTGCTGGCCAGTGCTTGCAGAACTTTATATTAACTAATGTAATCTTTATAATCACATAGAAGTATTATAATCTCCATTTGAGACTTGAGAGGTTGGAAGCAGAGAAAAGTTCAGGTGTACAATGAGGGGTATCCCACAAGGTCAGACAATGAGGAGTGGCAGGGCTGGGATTCAAGTTGGGCCTGTCATCTTATCATCATGAGGTGACTGGGGTGACCAGTCAGGATCTGTTTTGGCTGCAGGATGCAGAACCCTCCGTCCCAATAACTTGTGTAAATACAAGTTCTGTCTCATTGGAATGAAACCCAATAGCAAGTAGCTCAGGCTCAGGTGGAATCTTCTGAGATTTTGTCACTTGGCCCACTCTCATTTGTGACTTCTATGTCACAGCTCAAGGTGGGTGTTCCAGCTCCACCCATTATGTCTACATTTCAGAAAGGAGGAAGGAAGGGCTGAGAAGGGGCAGCCTTTAAGAACGATTCCCAGAAATATTATGTGATGTTTCTGCTCATGTCCCATTGGTCAAAACATAGTCACATTACCATGTGTTGAAAAGACTAGAAAATTGTGATAAAACAAAAATGAGGACTTTTCAATCGGGATGAAGATGTGAGTGAATATTGGTCAGGACAGTTTAATTTCTCCTGCACTCTGAATGGTTCCCTAGGACACCTAGAGTCAGGTGGCTACCTCTGACTCTAATAACCTATTGACCTACCCAAACTCATCAGGAAATAAATGAGAGGCAAGCTGTGAGTCCACTATATCTGTGTCTATCTGTGTCTTCCTGTTTTGACCTGGGGCAGACTGTCAGAAGCTGTTAATTCCTGCCAGGCTGGAACTTTGGCCATCCAACCACATTCCCCACACAGAGGTCTAACTGGCAGGACAGGTCCCACAGGTGATTGGAGTTCCTGATCCTAGTGCAGAGCCCAACATGGGGCTGAGGTGGGGCCACCTTATTCAGCTGTAGTGAGGCCACTGTCTTACATCCCAGCTCTGCACCCCACAACTGTGTAGCCCTTGGCAGGGCTAGCCCCTCTGGGCTCTGTTCCTTTCTTTTTCTTTTAGAAGAAGAAGCAGGGGAAAGGAGTCATAGTTTTTCTTTCTTTCTTTTTGGTGGGACTTTTTTTTTTTTTTTTGGTCCTGGGACTGGAACTTAGGACCTTACACTTGCTAAACAGGTGCTCTGATACTTAAGCCACTCCACCAGCCCTTTTTTGTATTGGGGATTTTGAGAAAGGGTCTCAGAACTATTTTCCTGGGCTGGCCTCAAACCTCAGTCCTCCTGATCTCTGACTCCTGAGTAGCTAGGATTACAGGCAGGAGCCACCAGCACCCAGAGGGACTAGGGTTTGAACTCAGTACTTCACACTTGCAAAACAGATGTTCTGCCATTTGAGCCACATCTCCAGTCCATTTTCTCTGCTTATTTGCACAGGCTGGCCTCTTGATCTCAGCCTCCCAAGTAGCTAGGATTACAGATGGGAGCCAACAGTGCCTGGCCACATTTCTTTTATAATTATGAATTATTTTTCACTGTAATTGGTGTACAGAAAGCATAGCCAACACCATGTACCTACTACGTGGCTTTTTTTTTTTAATCTTCCTGTCATATGGTAATAGCAAACCTTACTGAGAGCTTATTTTGTGCTCAGTATCTATGAACTAATTTCACCCTTACAATGACCACTTATGGATGAAGAAATGAGGCAGTGAGGTTATGGAACATGGCCCTGCTTGTTAAGTGGGGAAGCTGCATTAAAATGTCTCTGTTCCTGCCCAAACAAGCCCCTTCTTCCTTGCCAGGAACTCCTATGTTCCCCAAGTTTGCTGAGTGCCAGGGAGGGGAAAGAGGAGTTATACTGATCCTTGATTTCTGCCAGGTGGTGAGCTAGGCACTTCCTGCCCAAGGCACAGAGCCATGTGAATGACTCAGGTCATCAGCAAGCTTGGAACCCAGCATAGTCTAGAATCTAGATGCATTTCTGGACCATACTGTAGAAGGGTGTCCCAGCCCAGGTCACCCTACAGGCAATAGGGCAGGGATGGACCCTGTCCCTGGCTCTAGATCATTCAATACTGAACACTCTGACAGAGGCTGTATTTTTGGGGTGCTTGGTACAAAAGGAGCACATTGAGTCAGGGGCCAGGAAGGAGGACCCATTTTCAGGAGGTATGTCTCATGGGAGCAGGCCAGCAGCAAGGGCACAGCTGGACTGGGGCCCAGTGATGGATCTGGCAGTTGAAGCCTGGAGAAGGGCCTACTGGGTGGCCTAGGTCTAGAGTCGTACAGCACCTGAGGCCAAAGGAGCTCTTGTGCTGAAAGGCAGGACCTTGGTTTCCAGACCATCTGGCTAGGCACTTTGGATAGTCTGTACCCACATGATGGGCATGGCACACAACTTGTCACTGTGGGCTCTTCTGAAAGGAAGCTCCCAGTGGGACCTCAGTGGGGGCAGCTGAGGTGGTTTGGGGAGAGACTGAGGATTGAGGTTGCCATATGGCAATTCCTCCCCTCCTTGGGGAAGCCAAAGATGTTGGGGAAAGGGGGTGGTGAGCCTGGATCTGCGTACTCACCCAGTCATGCTGGCCCTGCAGGTGGGATGCTATGGAATATGATGAGAAGCTGGCCCGGTTCCGGCAGGGCCACCTCAACCCATTCAACAAGCAGCTTGGGCGAAGACAGCATGAAAAGGGACCCAGTGAGGAAGCCCAGGACACTACTTCTGAAGGTGAGTGCTGGTGGGGGTGAAAGTTGTGTGTGATCATTTGGCCACCTCCCCCTCACCCCTTCTCCCTGCTGCCCTCCATGGAGCACATTGGCTTTTCCATGGACCAGGTACCATACTGGCTGCTTTCTTTTTTCCCAATAGCACAAATCACTTATAGCTTCTTTGTAGTTTATTTTTGTCTCCCTACCAGAATGCCCACTCCATAGTGCAGGGATTTGTGTCTGGAGAGTCACTGCTGAATCTCAGGGTCAAGCACACAGTAGGTGGTCAGTGAACATTATGGAGCAAACTCAGAGCCAAGATCTGGTGGAGGGAGGTTAGTGGGTAGAGTGTCTTATGCCCCACTCCTGGGGATCAGAAGAGTGTGAGCCCCAGGAATTGCAGACTAGGTCAGTAGAGAGAGCTTGGGCCAGTGTGGTTGCAGAGATGGCCTGGAGTCCATATGGGGGTTCATGAATTTTGTGTAATTTTCTTTAGTCTATCTATGTATACATGAGGAATCTGCCTTAGAAATTGGATTGTTTCTATAACACTATCAGGTGGGCTTCTTTCATTACTAAGTGTCATTCTGCCTCATCTCCTTGAATGGCTCTCTCTGTCTGCACAAGAAACTGAGCTCCTTTGCAAGTGCAAATCAGAGAGACTTGCAGGACTGAGCAGCATCCAGCTCACCCAGTGCCTCCTTCCTGTGGGCTCCCTGAGTTCCCATCCCAGTACCTCCCTGGGGGGCAAGGAGCAAGAGAGGCAAGTTGACCTTTCTCTCTGCCACCCTCCACATCTGCCTCCCTTCCTCCAGAGACCCTGCCTGAGCTGCCCCCTGGGGAGCCTGAGTTCCACTGCTCTGAGCGTGTGATGGATCTCGGCCTGTCTGAGGACCACTTCTCTCGTCCTGTAGTAAGATTTGGTGTCTGGGAGGGAAGGGAACTGGGCCCTGAGGTATTAGAGAACACTAGTTTTCCTGATCGTCCCAGTCCCAGGTGGCAGAGCTATGTCCTCCCAGACACTGTCTCATGAGCTGAGTGTGCAGTTTCCCTCCCAGTGAATCGCCACCATCAGGCTCAGCTGCCCCCACTTTAGTAATTCTCTGGGGCCTTGAATCTGAGACCTACATGGCTCCTGGCCCCATCCTCAGAGCCTGTCTGAGGACAGGTAGAGACAGGTTGGGGTAGGTGGTCTGGGGTCTCTCCTCTCCCCTCAGCTCCAGGCTCTTGTGAAGCAAATGTGAGACCCCCTTGGGATTCTCAGGGGATACTGTAGACATGTAGACATGCTACATGATGAGGTCAGTGGAGGGAAACAGGAAGCCTCCCTGCCTCTCACTAGCCACTCAGCACCACAGTGCCCCTCTTGTTTGTTCTATGTTTTGTTCCACAGAAGGCTTGTTTTGAAGGGGAATATAGAGGTGACTCTAGTGTTTCTTAAAAAGTTTGAAAGCCATTGGTTTTTTGCAAGTCATCTTAAATCCAAAGAGATTCAAGCAGATGCCCCCAAATCCAATTTACTTTTCATTTGGTATGTGTTATTTGAGCTTTGCTCATACAAATACATACACACATATATGTGTGACATATATATATACACACATATATGTATGTGCATATCCACATATATGTAGATAGATAATGTTTTGCTAGGCATGTGCTGTACCACTGAGCTACATCCCCAGCCAGATACATATTGCACGTATATGTTTCATGTCTTTGTTATAACATTTCTGAGCACTTCCTTTTTGGCCATAGACTAAGTTTCAAGGAGGAGGAAGGGTACCACCTTCTTTTGCCTGGGTCTTTCAGAGCCCAGCATAGAGGAGGAGGAGAAGGAGGAAGAAGAAGAAGAGGAGCAGGAGAAGGGCTCCTGAGGATGTGGTCAGTCTGACCTTCCCAGTTCTGAGAGCAGAACATGTCTTCCCCAGTGGCAGCAGGGTACTCTGAATCTGGGGCGTTGGCTAGGTGGGTGGTGACAGAGGCTAGAGGTGCTGAGTCTGGGGGTGGGTCAGCACCATCAGGCAAACTTGCTTGCATCTGCCTGGGCTTAGCAATTAAGTCAGAGGCCACTTCCTCTCATGAAGCCAATGTCATTTCCCCAGCTTTCTCCAAGGGGAAGCTCTTTAGAGGTAAGTGAAGCAATATAGCCAAAAAAGCAGTTGCAGTTGGGTTTCTAAAAGAAGGAAGTTGGGATTTTTTTTTTTTTTTTTTTTTTTTGTGATGCTGGGGATCAAACTTGGGGCCCAAAGGTATGTTAGGCAAGTGCTTTACCACTAAGGTACATTTCCAGCCCTCAGAAATTGTCTTTTTTCTTTTTTTGTTTTTGTTTTGTTTTGGAGACAGGGTGCCACTGGGTATCCCAAGTTGCCCTTAAACTTGTGATCCTCCTGCTTCTGTTTCCCAGGATTATAGGCACGTATCACCAGGCCTAGCAAAGAAGTTGTCTATTTTTCTTTTTAAAAAAAAAATTTTTTTTTGAGACAGGATCTCACTATGTAGCCCAGGTTGGCCTTGAACTTAAGACCCTCCTGCCCCAGTCTCCCGAATTCGGATTACAGTCATTGCACCACCGCCCCACCCCCAGAAGTCACCTTTTGAAAAGTGTCCTGAATTAGGTCTTCAAAGGCCTACAGTTATAACACTCCAGGCAGGCAATGTGGGGGGGATACCATCATGCTGCTAGCTCTCTTGGGCCTTGAGTAAGTCCTCATTTGAGGACTCGAGGGGTTGAGGTCTGCTGTATGCAGCAAGTTCTCATCTGGGTGAGGGAGTTGAAATATTCCCTGTGCTTAACCACTCATGAGAACAGGTCTAGCCTCCACAGGGAGAGCTTGCCAGGTGGCCATCTGACTTCTGCCTCCCACCTGGGCAGGGTCTTTTCCTGGCTTCTGATATCCAGCAGCTGCGGCAGGCGATTGAGGACTGCAAGCAGGTGATTCTGGAGTTGCCAGAGCAGTCAGAGAAGCAGAAAGATGCTGTGGTGAGGCTCATCCACCTGCGGCTAAAGCTTCAGGAGCTGAAGGTGGGTATGGGGCTGCCCCACCAAGCAAGTGCACTGAGCCTCAGCTGGATTGTAGGTTGCAGGAGGACTGGGCAATCTGATTCCCTGCAAGGGGGTGGGTCTCTTCTGGGCTCTGAGGGGCCGAGGTAGAAAGGTATCCAGAAAGGCACACCCCATGTATGGTCTACTTCCCTGCTAGTCCAAACCCTCTTGGTTATAAGGGAACAGAAACCTAACCTTAAGTGGCTTGAGCCAAGAAGAAAGTATTCTCTTGTCAACTGAAAGGTCCTCCAACATTGTCAGGAATCCTGTCCTCTTCTGTTCTGCCTTGTTTGACCCACCCTCAGGCAGGACTTCCCTGTGTGGTGTCAGAGAGGCCGCAGCAACTGCAGCCTGTCTTTCCACCAGCTCAGCAACCCTGTGTGAATGACAGCTTTCCTTTCCTACTGGGTGTAGTGAGTCAGTCTTGTGTTACCTGGCCCATTCATGTGACTGGCTATGTCTGGATCAGTGCTCAGAAACACGGTGATTGGCTAGTTCTGGGTCATGCGGCCACAAACAAGCAAGTTGATAGGGTAGCCCCTCCTTGAACCATATGACCTAGAGTAGAAGGGGCAATTACCTGAAAGTGTCAACAGAAGGTAATGGATCCCAGAGTTCAAAACCTACAGAATTCCACCATGTGGTCCTAAGTCTATGTCTTTGGCTTGGCTGTGACTTTATCCCCTGTACTGACTCATGAACTCCTGGGAATTTAGAATGGAATATTCATTAGAAAATTGGTAAAGCTGTGGTAATAAACACATCCCGAAACACAGTGGTTTAAAGGAGAGAGATCTGTAATTTTCTTCATGAAAAAAAATCTCACAGGTGGTCCAGGGCCATGTGAGAGCTAGTGATGTTGGAGACCCTGGGTCATCCTTTTTTGTTGCTCTGCCAATGGTCTAACACCACATCTTGGTCTGCACCCAACATTCAAAAGGAGAGAAGGGCCAAGGCCATATCACTCCTACTCAAAGACCCTTGGACCCATGCAGCACCTGGCTGCAAAGGATGCTGGGAAAGGGAATTTGTGTTCTTGGTGGTTTGCATCTGACTATCATTCTAGTGCTAAAGGGAGAAGGGGATGATGCATTGGGCTGAAACTCAAATCTTTACTACTAGCAGTGCCTGGAAGACATGAGGATTTTGAGTGAAGGGAATGAGCTGCAGCCCAGCTCACCAGTGACCCTTCTCTTCCCCTTCCCCTGCAGGACCCTAATGAGGATGAGCCCAACATTCGGGTCCTCCTTGAGCACCGCTTCTACAAGGAAAAAAGCAAGAGTGTAAAGCAAACCTGTGACAAGTGCAGTACCATCATCTGGGGCCTTATTCAGACCTGGTACACATGCACAGGTGGGCTGAGTTGGAGACCCACTCCTGTTCAAGTCATCCAAGTCCCCAGGGCAAGAGTCCAAAGCTCTGCTCCAGATGTGGGTTATATTCAGGTGGATTCTCTGCAGTGTATTCAGTTGATCAAGGCCTTCTGCACTAGAGATTCGAGGAAAGAGACCATGTGCTTGCCTTCACTGGCCTCATATGTAGATCTGAGCTGTGCAGTATATGGTGGCCATAGGCCTTAGATATTCAAATTTTAGTCTACATGAACTGAATAGGTAGTTCCTCAGCTGTACTGCCTATACTGCAAGTGCTCAATAGCAACACAGGACTGGCAGCTACCACATTGGACAGTGTAGAGAGAACATGTAGAAAATTCCCTGCAATGGGGCTATTCTGGGGGAGAAACCAGATTAGTAAATGCCACGGTATGGTAGTCATAGTAAGGAAAATGGAAAGAAAATAGCATTTATTGGGGCTGGAGTGGGTAGTACTTTAGGGTAGAATGCAAAAGGCTCATGTGATGTTTAAGCAGATGCTTGGAGGTCTGGGAGCAAGCCAAGGGTAGATTTAGGGAGAACATTCTGGTAGGGGGATCCATGCTTGCAAAGGCCCTGTGCTTAATGTGTGTCCAGTGTCTTCAAGGAGGAACACCTATGGCTAGAGCATTGTATCTGAGGGGAGGTATTATAGGGATGGACTCAGAGGTGGCTGACGGCTTTTCTGTAAGTGCAGTGTGGACTATGGGTGGGTACTGGACACTTTTAGACTCTGGTTGCTAATTTGAGCATGGACTGAAGGAGAGAGCAAAGCTAGAAGGAGAAGATGAATGGCTCTGATCAGGGTGGGGTGCTGGGTGAGAAGAGGCTGAGGTTATTGCTTGCTGAAAGTTTGGAGGTACCATGTAAGAGGTAAGAACAGAGGCAGGATGATTCATGATGTTTAGTCTCAGCAGAAGGAGGATGGAGTTGCTGAAATCTGAGATAGGAAATGGGGGAAGAGGATTGAGATGGAAGAGTGGAAACTCCATTTGGACAGTTTGAGTTTGATGGATGGGAATGGAGGTTGGCTCTGGGATGTGTGAGTCTGGAGTTGAGAGGCAAGGCTCAGGGGTTGGAGCCACGAGGATCTTTGAGGTGCTGAGACCTGCAGTAGTGCTCAGAGAAGGTATTGGACCTATCTGGATACTGGAGTGGAGCTGATGGAGGATGGGGAGCAGTCCAGTTGAAGGTCAGCCTGGATCCCTCTCCCTGACTTCTAAGAAACATGGTTGCTTCCCACCACAGGATGTTATTACCGTTGCCACAGCAAGTGCCTGAACCTCATCTCCAAGCCCTGTGTGAGCTCCAAAGTCAGCCACCAGGCAGAATATGAGCTGAACATCTGCCCCGAGACAGGGCTGGACAGCCAGGACTATCGCTGTGCCGAGTGTCGGGCACCCATCTCTCTGCGTGAGTGAAAGATGGGGTCTTCTCAGAACAAGTCAAGAACAGGCTGAGGGGGCTGGGGGAACGGCTTAAGTGGTAGAGTGCCTGCCTAACAAGTGTGAAGCTCTGAGTTCAAACCCCAGTACTACCAAAAAAATAATGGACTGAAGAAGGGAAAAAAAAAAAGAACAGGCTGAGGGAGTATCAGATAGCTAAGTGAGGACCAGCCTGGGCAGGGCACTCCCTGTTCCTTCTCTTTGGGAAGTGGCAAGGGCAGTTACTGGCATTTCTTTATTTCCCACTGAAGCAGACCAAGGTTCCAGTTATTCTATGACTTGCCCAGGTCACTGCAGGGCTGTGTCCTGAGCTTAGCCTCTATGTGGCCCTTTGTCACAAAAAGCCCACACAGGCTGTGTGCCAGTGGCTCACACCTGTAATTCCAGGCAGAGATCAGGAGGATTGCAGTTTGAAGCCAGCCCAGGCAAATAGTTCCAAGGGACCCTATCTCAAAAAAACCCTTCACGAAAATAGGGCTGGTAGAGTGGGTCAAAGTGTAGGCCTGAGTTCAAGCCCCAGTACCGCAAAAAAAAAAAAAAAAGCCCACACAGACAGGATGAGGAAAAGTCATATAGTAGTCACATGCTTCTTTCTAGTGTTAAGAATGTTAACTGATGTGAAGTCACAAGTTCCTTTGGCAGTCCTATAGCATGATCCTGTCCCATTTTACTAATGGGCAAACTGAGGGCACAGTAGGATCTCCTGTGGCTCCATGGCTGAGAAAAGTATGGGTCATTTAAGGAGGGTCTGACTCCTGTTCAGATTGCTTTCCTGACCTCTTGGCCAGGGAGAATGGGCTACATAATGTGGGAGCCTTGGGCAGGTAAGGTGGACCCTGACATAACAACCTGTCTGCAGGGGGTGTGCCCAGTGAGGCTCGACAGTGTGACTATACTGGTCAGTACTATTGCAGCCACTGCCACTGGAACGACCTGGCTGTCATCCCTGCACGCGTTGTGCACAACTGGGACTTCGAGCCGCGCAAGGTGGGGGTTTTGGGAGTGTGGGGGTGAGGCCATGGGAAAGGAAAGCCAGTGAACTGGAGACGGTGGGTGGGTCCCACAGGCCCATGTGGGCCAGGGATGGCCCCACAGGCTGGTCACTCAGCCACTCTGCAGGTTTCTCGATGCAGCATGCGCTACTTGGCACTGATGGTGTCACGCCCTGTGCTCCGACTCCGGGAGATCAACCCCCTGCTGTTCAACTATGTGGAGGAGCTGGTGGAGATCCGGGTGAGGCTGTGGGGGCAGTGGTGCATTGGGAAGAGGTGGGGGTCCCAGGTGAGGGATGAGGGCAGTGGTGCATCAAATGGACCCTCTCTGGCCTGTGGGAGGTTCTGAGCAAAGGAGGGACCTTAGTAGGTGCCTAAGGGTCCCTTAACAAGGGTACCTTAGCAGCGCCACTTGTCTATCCTTTTGATTGAGGATGCTAGAACCATGTCCAGTAGCAATCTTTCTCTGTCTCTGTCTCTCTCTCTCTTTTTTATTTTTTTGGTGGGACAGAGGTTTGAACTCAGAGCTTTGTGCTTGCAAAACAGGCACTCTACTGATTAAGCCACACCTCCAGTCCACTTTGCTCTGGTTATTTTGGAGATGGGATCTTGTGTACTATTTGCCCAGGCTCACTTCAAACCATGATCTTCCTGATTTCAGTCTCCTAATTAGCTAGGATTACTGCCATGAGCCACTGGCTCCTGGCTTTCAGTGGCAATCTTATACTAGACCTGGAGGCAATTAAAAATTTTTTAGTAGCCTCAGTAGAAAAGTAGACAAGTGGGGTGGTGGTGCACACCTGTACTGGCTATATAGAGAGACTCTGTCTCAAAAAAAGAAAGAATGAAAAGAAAGAAGGAAGGAAGAGAAAGAAAGAGAGAAAGAGGATAAAGTTTATAAACATTTATCACTTTGTTTTGTTTTGCTTTGTTTTTTGGTGGTACTGGGGTTTGAACTTAGGGCCTCACATTTGCTAGGCAGGCACTCTACCACATGAGCCATTCCACCAGCATTGTCTATCATTTGAGTCACATAGTGGGCCACCATTATCCAGTAGGGAGAGCCAGGATTGAGGCCAAACTGGTGCTATATCCAGGTGGGAGCTGATGGTGCCTTAGGAAGGGCAGTAGAAAGGGGTTTGATTCCATGTTACTGGAGAACAAACTGAGGCAGAACAGGGTGAGTTGCCAAAGGCCTCAAGGGCTGATGAGGGATGTGGGACCCAACTGGGAGTTTGGCCCATATGTCTGATGTGACTTAGTGCTGCCCTGATGCTACTGGTTCCTGGACAGGTCATTTTGCATGCCTGTGGGACTGGGCTGAGTGGCATGAATGGAGGATTCTGTGGGTGATGGTAAATGAACTCCAAGGTCCTGTGTAGCCCAGAAGCTATGATTTGCACTTGAGCTTGGCTGAAGCACTTAGTTCTGAAACCATCCTGGAGAACTTGAGGGCACCTTCCCTCGCCCTTACTGATTTTGCTGTCACTCAGAGTCTAAGGTGAGGCCACCCTGTGATCATGGCTCCTCTGAAGTCAGGGCAGGGGTGGATGTGTCCTGGCTGAGGAGCTCACCTGCTACCCTTATCCACAGAAGCTGCGCCAGGATATCCTGCTCATGAAGCCGTACTTCATCACCTGCAAGGAGGCCATGGAGGCACGACTCCTGCTGCAGGTCAGACTGCTAGAGGGACTGACCCCAGAGAACCTCACTCTCAGAACTTTTCAGATAACTTGGTAGCCATGTATGTTGTGTGTGTTGTGCTTTTAGCAGTCTCCCAAACTCTGCTCCAGGAACTCCAGGTCTATAATAAGCCATCAGGCATTCTACCCACTAAAGTGTTCTCCAATGATCTGAGTTTGGAAAACTGAGATAAGCAAGCATTGTCTGCAAATTTTATGTGATTGTTTGTGGTGGTGGACCAGGTGGTGGAATAGAACACAAGTTTTAAGATTTACCTATTTATTTCACTAAATATTCACAGATACTGGTCTAGATTTTGGGAAGCAATGAGCAAAACAGGGAGGAATCCTTGCCCTTGGAGTGTGCTCATCAGGTTGGAAATATAAGAAAAATAGGTAGTATGTCAGGGTGGTGGGCACTGTGCATAGGAGAAAGCAGGGGAAGGGTGGGGAGCACTGGGTGGTGTTAAATAACGAGACCAGGACCAGGAGGAAATGCAGCTGGTAGGGAGCAGTGAGGTGGCCAGTGTGGCTGGAGGCTGCATTATAGGTGAGAAGTGTGTGTTTGTGGTGGGGGGAGGGCACACAGATCAGAAAATGTGGCCTTGGCCCCATCTTCCCCCTTTGGCTTCCCCAGGCTTCCTGATTCTGGTTTTGGGGTTCCCACACAGATACACTCTGAAGCTTGCTGCTTCCGCAAGCACCCTGGGCCCAGACAAAGCAGGGACCACAGGTGGGGAATGGGAGGAGTCCTTGTTCTGTACTTGGGGTCACAGCTACTAGGACTTGGCAGCTCCAGGACCGGCAGCATTTTGTGGAGAACGATGAGATGTACTCCATTCAGGACCTCCTGGATGTGCACATGGGACGCCTTGGATGCTCGCTCACTGAGATACACACACTCTTTGCCAAGCACATCAAGCTGGATTGTGAGGTAGGTGTCCCCACCCATTCTGTTGTTGCAGTCTGATCCAGAGGAGACCCTGGGGCCACTCTTTTGCCCAGCTTCCAAGCCTAGGGGCTGGGATTGGCAGGAATACTGGAATTGGCCTGGTATTACTGGCCTGAGCTGGTGCTTATCTGCCCACCCCCTAACCTCACCATACTGTTTCCTCTCCCCACCAGCGGTGCCAGGCCAAGGGTTTCGTGTGTGAGCTCTGCAGAGAAGGCGATGTGCTGTTCCCATTTGATAGCCACACGTCTGTGTGCACTGACTGCTCAGCTGTTTTCCACAGGTGGGTGTGGCCCAGACCACTCCCTCAGACTAGGTGCTGAGGCTTCACTCTGCCCTCTGAGTGGCTGCCTCCCTTTGACCTCACCTGCACCTGGCCTTGTAAGAGTTGACACTGCTACCCTGAGAGAAAGGGAGACAGACAGATATTTGGACCTTTGCTGCCTGGATTTCAAAGCCCGTTACTGATCCTGAGATACTACGTTAGACTCTTATCTGTGTCTAAATTAAAAGTTTCATTATGAATGAACACCTGTGGACTTGGGAGGAGGCCACTGCTGCCCAGACCAGCCAAGACCAGCTCCTGAAGCCTACTCAGCCCTGGACTTGCTCATATCATCCACACTAATTCCCTCTGCACCAGTATCAAAGTCAGTATAGGTCAGAGGTTCCCAAACTTTCTGGTTGCTGACATCCTTAGTATCTCAGTAACTTTTTTCAAAGTGTCCTTAGTCCAAAAGAAATTCTTAACACTTGTTTATTACTTATGTTCAATGTTATAAGGATTTATGTTCTGACGATTTAGTAGCTGTTTGAAAAAATAATATAAATTATTAGACACATAAATTAGAAGAAAAACATTTAAATTTCATTCTATAACCACAATTTCTTATGAATGATATCAATGTACCTGCTGGGCCCTGGAGTTGGATGGGACAACTCCCCCATTTATGTCTACCCTGATTTTTGCCTGGTATTTGCTATTTATCATAACAACTACAAAATTCTAGCTTTGCAAAGCTAGGTTGTCACAAAAAGGGATGTAGCAAAAAAATCTTGTTGAAACCATGAGTTCCTGAGCTAATAGTTTTTGTGGTGTCTGACTGCTGTGTTCTTTTCAAAAGTTAAATGAGCCTGCAGAGCCCTAAGCACACACTGCAGAGACCTAGTGTGCCTTGACACACAATTTGGGAACCATGGCTGGAGACTCCTCAGTACTAATAATAGGCGGCAGTAGTGGAGTAAGAGCTTTGAGCCTGGTTGTAATTGCTGGGGGCCTGCATTGTTTGGGTAACAGGTAATGTGAAGACCCTTTATCAGGGCCAGCACCTACATACTGAACAAATATTCACCACACACAGGTCTCATGATCAGTCATACCTTTATGTAGATCCTGCTTCTGCCCTATGAGCCTGTTTCCCCATTTGTACAGGGGTAATGAGAGCTGACCTAGGAAACTTGTGAGGGTCCAGTGTTAGAATTTTACATGCAGAGCTCAGCCTATTTTTCTGCCCCTAGGGACTGCTACTATGATAACTCAACCACGTGCCCAAAGTGTGCCCGGCTCAACTTGAGGAAGCAGTCACTCTTCCAGGAGCCTGGTCTGGATATGGATGCCTAAAAGCGCTGGGGGAAGGAGTACCAGGCACTGCGGCTGCCCATCTGCTTCCCACCCTGCTGGCATTGCCAAAGTTAGCTCTGGAGACCCCTGGGGTGCATCCCTGGGCATCTTCACTAGGTCTGGGCCAGAAGGGGGTGAGCAGTACCCACTAGGATCATCATTCTCCAGGTGCCAGCTGGGACTTGGAGTGGCTGTACCTGGCTGTTACCTGGGTATGCTGCTGTGTGGGGTTGCAATGTGGCACCTGCCCCCTCTCCCACTGTAGGACTCCTTAGACAGGAGAGCCTGAATGTGACTCCTCCATTTCCCCATAGCATAGAGCGCTCCATGCTTCTGGAGTCAAGGCTTCTGGACCCTGGAGATACCCCTGCTCCTGTCCAGGCCACTGTGGAAACTAGTCAGCCTGAAACCCTGAAATGTAGCCAGTGAGACCTGAGGATGCTGGCAGCATATATCCAGCTTCTGGCCTGTGTTCTATTTGCTGCCATGGATGGTTTGGGTTCTACCTACAGGCTTCCTTTCCTTCATCTCTTTGGGGGCTTCTGGTTGTCCCTGACTGGGGCTATTCACAGTAGTGTCCCATGGACCTGCCCCAACCTCTTGAGGTTTTTAATACTGCTTAGGCCATCAGACCAGTGGTGTTCCCTGTACAATAGGGAGGGGAGGGGGCCATGGAGATTTTCCCTTCTGGGTATACCTACAACTGCTCCTGCCCTGGCCCAGCCCACCTCACCTCATTCTGGTGCTTTGAGCCAAGGAAGCTGTCCTGGCCTCCAGGTGTGCAGCAGGGACTCTTTCTGGGGGGAGGCTCCTGGTTAGGCAAGGGGGTTGGTTGCAGTAGGCCTGGGTAGCATTTCTTGGGACCAGATTTGCCCCTGGACCTTTGTTCTGCTGCCACAGTGCCCATGGAGGGCTCTGGATGGCTTGGAGATGACCAACTAATGACTTCATTTGGAGACCTGAGGTCAAGAGCTTGGAATATTTGTGTAAGGTAGCCCCAAGCAGGAGGCCTAGATCCATGCAGGAAGATTTGGGCCTGGAAGGTGGATAAGACCTACAGCTCTTCAGTGGGAGAGCCACACTCAGCCTCTGTGTTTGCACCTTATGGGTCATGAAGTTGAGGGTGTGTGTGTGTGCGCGCGTGTGTGTGTCTGTGTGCGTGTGTGTGGTGTGCGTGTGTGCGTGCGCGTGCGTGTGTGCATATGCGTGCGTGTGCGCGTATGCGTGTGCGCATATGCGCGTGCGTGCGTGAGAGGGGATGTCTCAGGATATGGCTTCTGTCTTTCATCCCTGGGAAATAGGAGTTGCTTGGATCTGACCCTTTCCTCCTTGCCCCAGACTGCATATGGCTGTTGATGCACGCAGATGGTGGACAAAGGGCAGAGGGTGTGACTGCTTGGATGTCCCTCACCTTTGATCATCTCAGCCAGCAGGATGCAGTTTAGCTTGCCGGTCCATTCAAGGGGTGGACAAACATAGTACTTCCTTCTTGCCCCTCCATACCATCAGGTGGTTTTAAGGAAGGCTCTTGCTGTCTTTTCTGTCTCAGTTTCCCCATTTGGAAAATGGGAAGAGTGGTATTGACCTACCTCAGGGTGGAACAGTGAGAAATCCTTTAGGAGTGTGATAGGGTCAGTGTTAGTTCCCATCCTGCTTCCTTTTCCTCTTTGGGGCTGAAGCAGGGGGCTAAAGGACAAATACCATTTTCTTACACTCGTAAATCTGTGCATTTATCACCACTGCATCACATTTCTGTCACGTGGATATTGGCCCTTCCCAAATCTGTGTAATCAACATTATTCCAGCGATGTCACTATGTCCACAGAAAGAACTAGTAGGCTGGCATTTGTTGGACAAAGGGTTGGGTCCCTCTTTTATAACTCACCCCAAACATTCTCCTCTAACACCTCTTCTCTACCTGCCCTCTGGATGACACAGACTTTAAGTAAAATCATGCATTGGTCCTTCTATGTGTCCACAGCATAGTAGGAAGAACCTAACCCATTTGCATGGCCAGTACCTTATAGAACAGCACATCCAAAGGTATCCCACAGCAAAGGACCAGGCTGGCCTGAGGGAGGCCCAGTCACAATACCACTGTCTCTGTCTCATTAAATACATGTTCTCTAGACTCGTGTGTGTTGAATCTAGGACAAAGCAGAGTTAGTCAAAATACAAGCCAATTGTAGGTTTAGGAAAACCTTACAGCCTTCTCCATCTAATGGGCTTGATTGTGATCTGGTTTGGGGTGAAATAACACTTACTGATTGGTTGGGAGAAGTGCTTATATTGGTGTCAGACAGACCAAGGCCTGAGCCTGCTCTGATACTGTGTAGAGGAGTTGTCTGATTTCTTGGAGTCTCTATTTTGATAAGATGGGATGACCACTCATGCTTCCTGGGGTCTCAGGGTTCCAGGAAGCATTTAGCACTGTGCCTATTATGCATAAAATGCTCAGTAAGTAGAAGTTCTTTGGAGTCCTGTCATTAAAAGGACTGTCACATTAACTTAAGCAGTGTGAAAGCTGCCAGTCATGTGATCACAGAAGAGTCAGCAAGAGTCCCATTCTAGCTCCAGGGGACATCATCTATTTTCACTAGCTGAATACATGAAAAAGAGCCCTTGTTATAGCTCTAGGCCATTCCCCTTGAATAGAGTCTTTTTTTTTTTTTTTTTGGTGGCATTGGAGTTCAAACTCAGGGTCTCATGCTTGCTAGACAGGTGTTGGGGTTGGCTTTGAACCGTGATCCTCCTGATCTCTGCCTCCTCAAGTTCTGGCTTCCTCTTTTTTTTAATTGTCCAAAATAATAAGTTTCATTATGACATTTTCATACCTGCATATAATGTACTTTGACCATATTCACCTCTCCCTTACCCTCTTTGTCCCTCCTTTCCCCTCATATTGGTCCCCTTCCTTTTTCCAAATAGTTCCCCTTCTACTTTCATGTCTTTTTTTTTTTTTAAATCTTGAGTCTGCCTATGTGAGAAGTTAGTAGAGGTTTTTAATGGATGGACTTCAGGAGGATCACAAACACCTTTCCCAAGTTAGATTCAAAACTCTGTAGATGGGTATGGTGGAGCACACTTGAAATCCCAGTATTTGGGAGGTTGAGGCAGGAGAATCGCAAGTTCAAGGCCAGCCTGTGTTACATAGTGAGACCGTTTCAAAAAAAACAACTAAAATCCTAACAGTCTAATATACTGTGATTCTATGCCCTAGAGAAGTCCAAGAACATGGGTTGTTTTTTTCTCTATTGTAGCACCCACAGAAGGGTGGGAGAAGGCCATCCAGGAGCAATTTGTGGGCTGGGATGCTGGTATATTTGAGTACATGCCTCCAACTCCAATTCAGTAGCTGACGCTGAACTTTGGATACCAGTGTGTACAGTGGTGTGTATCTGTAAGTCCTAGGTATTCAGGAGGCCAAGGCAGGGGGATAGTGAGTTCACCATCCTTTCAAATGTTTTTTTTCTTTTAATGTTTTTAAATTGGCAAATTTGGATTATAGAAAGTTGTAAAAAAAAGTCTACATTTGCCTATCTTCTGGATTCCCTAAATGTTAACATTTTGCTCCATTTACTTTATTCTCTTTCTCTACACATATTTTTTTCTCAAACCATTTGATGTTACATTGAAGATGTTGCTCCTTTGTTTCTTCTTTCTTGGGGGGAAGGGGTTACTGAGGATTAAACACAGGGCTGAGTGCTTGCTAGGCAAGCTCCCTACCACTTGAACCATGTGCACAGCCTTTCTTTCTTTTTTTTTCCCCTTGAGATAGGGTCTTGCTAACTTTGCCCAGGCTGGCTTCAAACTCACGATCCTCCTGCCTCTGCCTCCCAAATAATTGGGGTTATGGGTGTGAACATCCCACCTGGCCACCACTTTGCTTCTAAATACTTGTGTGTATTTCCCTCAAAGAGCATCAAAGGAAGCTACAAGTGCAATGAATAACCTGTGCACATGCCTCTTAAGAGTAAAATACTAAAATCCTAACATATCAGAGTTCTTGTTACCCCACAGACTCACCAAAAGAATGTGCTGTCATACTTTTTTATGGGCTGGTCTTAAACTCATAATTCTTCTGCCTCTGCCTCCTGAGTGCCAAGATTACAGGCATGTACCACCATGCCTGGATATTGCTATAATTAAAAAAAATTTTAAGCTGGGTGCCGGTGCCTCATGCCTGTAATCCTAGCTATGTGGGAGGATCAAGATTTGAGGTCAGCTCAGGCAAATAGTTCACAAGTCCCCATCTCCAAAATAACCAGAGCAAAATGGACTGGAGGTATGGCTCAAGTAGTAGAACGCCTGCTTTTGCAAGTATGAAGCTTGAGTTCAAACCCCAGTCCCACAAAACAAAAATTTTAAAGTAAGAGACAGGGTCTTACTATGTTGTCTAGGCTGACGAACTCACCACCCTCCTGCATTAGCCTCCTGAACAGCTGGGACTATGGGTATGCACCACTGTACCTGTATCATACTTTTTGATTCTTGTGATATAAGTATAGTATTAATTTGCATTTATAAGTGTGATCAAACTTTTCATTTTAGGATTTAATTTGTTTATGAATTATGTCTTTTGTCCAATTTTCTATTGGGTTTTTAGTACTTTCCCTTTTCAGTCTTTAAGATTTCTTCATATATTAGTAAATTTTATTTATTTATTTTTATTTTTTGGTGGTACTAGGGCTTGAACTCAGGGCCTCATGCTTGCTAGGCAGGCACTCTACCACTAGAGCAACTCCACTAGCTTTGTGCTGGGTATTTTTGATATAGAGTCTTGCAAACTATTTGCCCAAGCTGCTTTGAACTGTTATCCTCATAAGATTATAGACTTGATTAACATTTTCTTTCATTTCATCTGGATTTCAAGTCACAGCATATCTTTCCCTACACTCAGATTAAAGAGGGTGCATGCCTGTTGTCCCAGCTACTTAGGAGACTGAGGCAGGCAGATTGCTTGATTCTGGAGGTTCAGGAATAGCTGGGCAATATAGCTAGACTTCATCTCTATAAAGGAGAAAAATGGGGGATTTATTTATGTGTTTTTGTATTACTTACATGGTTTCACATTTACGTTTAGGTCCCTGGTCTGTCCAGAGTTTATTCATATGTGAAGTATGAATTCTAATTTTATCTTTTTCCAAATAGTTACACAGTTGTCCCATACCATCTTTTTGCAAAGTCTATCTGTGTCTAAGTCTGGACTTCATATTTTCCCTACAGGTCTGACTACCACACTGCTTCAATTAAACAGGCTTCATAGTATGCTGTAATGTCTGGGAAGGTTAATCCCTTGTACAATTTTTCTTTTAAAAAAAGATATCTTCCTGGCTATTCTTGCATGTGAATTTTTTGGGTGAGGGGGATGGAACTGGGGTTTGAACTCAGGGCCTCACACTTGTTAGGCAGGTGCTACCACTTGAGCCACATCTCAAGCCCACATGTGATTTTTTTTGTTTGTTTTTTCCTATTGGTGGGACTGGAGTTTGAACTTGGGCTTTGTACTTGCAAAGGAGGTGTTCTACCCCTTGAGCCATGCCTTCAGTCCATTTTGCTCTGGTTAATTTGGAGATGGGTTCTCAAGAACTATTTGCCTGGGCTGGCCCTGAACTTTGATTCTCCCAATCTTAGCCTCCCAGGTAGAGAGGGTTATAGGAGTGAGCTACTGGTGCCTGGCACATGCAATGTTTTTAAAGCATATATTTAAATATTTTTAAATAATAAAATGTGTCAAAATGGAAACAATAGCAGATTTCCAGGAATGTTAAACATCTAGAAGCAGGGAGGCTTGGCTGGGTTTCAACTATTGAGGTCATCTTCGTACTATGACTTTTTTTGTTATATGCTGAAAAACAATCTAAGGCAAGTTGCTTTGAGCACTGCTTCTCATTGTACAATTCCTTGCTGTTTAATGCATCATTGATTGATTGTTCTTGACAGTTTCAGTTTTCATTCATCATTAGAGTTGTTATTGGTAAGGATCCTAAAGCCAGCCTCTAAATGTGAGATGGCTGCTAAAAGTTCTGTGGTCAGTTGGTAAAGGGTGGTTGGAGTAGCTCCACTCTCATCTCTTACTGCCTGTTCTATCAGTTTTTCCTTTGAGAGATCTTCATGGGACTACAGCAACTGGTACACATTATCCTTTATAATATACTCTTCCAAGGCCAATTCTTAGCAAGGGTCACAATGTTTTGGTGAAGTTGTGCAATGGTGCCTGGGAAAAACTCTAGGAATGAACACACACTCTGGCCAAATATTCTTCCACACGCTGTTTATTATTTCTGGTTTGAGTTCCTCTCAAGCTGGTAGAGCGCCTGCCTAGCAAGCCTGAGGCTCTGAGTTCAAACCCCAGTACCACCAAAAAAAAAGAAAAAGAAAGTCTCCACCTGAGTTCCTCTCAAGCTACTGCAATGTTGTTCAAAGCATCCATGATATTATAGTTTCTCTAAAACTTCCTGACCATAGTATCTTTACCATTTATTGCTTCTAGGATGTGGCTCAAAAATCCTTCTCAGGTAATGACTGAGGCTACACCTTGACCCAAAGCCTTGGATTGAGTCAGATGTACTGTAATGAAGATATTCTACTCTTACATTATCATAAAGATATCTCATATTTACTGGGTGGCATGGCTCATTGTCTAGGATGAGCAATACTTTGTTGGTGAGATTATCCTGTGCACAGTATATATATATACATATATATATATATATATATATAACTGTACTGGGGTACATATATATATACAGTATATATATATATATATAACTGTACTGGGGTTTGAATTCAGGCCTCACACTCACTAGGAAAGTGCTCTACCATTTGAGCCACTCTACCAGCCCTGTTTTGTTTTGAGTCTTTTCGAGATAGGGTCTTGGTAACTATTTGCCTGGGGATGGCTTCAAATCTCAATCCTCATCTCTGCCTCCTAACTAGCTAGGTTTACAGGCATGAACCACCAGCACCTGGTTTATGCACAGTATTTTTCAACGGCAGGGCAAAAAAACTATGTGAACCGTTCATAAAAGATGCCTCTGGTGGCCCAAGGTTTCTTGTTTAAGCTCCAAGTCACAGGTAAATTGGACTTTGAGTACCTTTTTGGAGCCTTGGGGGTTTATGAGTGGTACACCAGTAAGGGCTTCAACATTCCCAGCAGCATTTCCATCAAGTGAATTTTGGATGACTTCAACCCTGGTTCAGCTTCCTCTTCTGTGGACATAAAATTTCTTTCAGGCATCCTCTTTCAATAAGCCCTGTCTCATTAAAAACTTGCTAGAGGTTGTACTTATCTTCTTTGATGATACTATTTTTTTGTTTTGTTTTTTTGTTTTTCTGTTTTTTTTTTTAGCACTTCTGGATACATGTCCTTGTTGCTGGGAGCTGCACTTGAAGTGGAGCAAACAGTGGTGCTCCTTGAACCTCACAAACCACCATTTACTTGTACTAAACTTTTCCACTTGAGAGCTTTCGCTTTCTTGACGCTGTAAGTTATCAAACTCTTAGCCTTCTCCTGAATGATGCTGACACTGAGAGGCACATTTAGCTGGCTCTGGTCTTTGAACCACATGCTCAACAGTTGCTCCACGTTCTCCATTATGGCACTTCTGTTAATGGCACTGGTGCAGTCTGTAATCAGAAAATCCTGGTTTTTGTGCTCCAAATGGAAAAATCCAAGCAGAGCACATGGATGGGGTGAGGTAGGATAGCTTATTGAGAAAAGGGGAGTCACCCGTTCTGCCAGGTGAGGAGAGGGAAGAAGAAGAGGGCACCATAGGTGCAGGTGGAGTCAACTGGTAGAGAGGGAGGGGGAGAGGGAGAGAAAGGAGGGTGTGGGGGAAAGAGGAGAGAGAGCGCGCGCGCTAAAGAGCACTTTTCTTTTTCAGGTGCTTTTAAAATATACACTACCCCATAGGAGGGCAGGCCCGGGAGGTTCCCATCCAATAATGAACTAGTGGAGAGGGGCATGGGCAGCTCCCAGCCAGATGAGGGTGGTCTGGTCCTTCCCCTGCAACCTACATAAGCCCCAAATTTTTTCTACTTCTAGCCTGCCTCACTTCGATGGCGAGTCATCCGTGAGGATATCAAGGAGTAGCTATTTGTGAACTTGACGTGATTTTTTTTTTTTTTAATCTCTGATGGTCGCCACTTTTGAGACAGCAAGACCTAAGGCTGTTCTCTTTTAGGACTAGGGGCGACACTCGCATTTAAGGACCTTTTCCCAGGCATTTCTACCTCCTTTTGTAACAAAGGGACAGCAGCCTCAGATGCTTTAAGACTGGTTACCCTATGTTCCCTTGCAGAAAGAGAAAACAAGGCTATGAATAAGCGCAGCCGGATACTCCTGGAGACGTGGAAGGGCCACCACGGGCCTGCTCAGCTCTATTGCCCAAAATGACTGGTTCATTCCCTGTTCCCAGGCCGGCCTCATCTATCTCTCTGGTGTTAAGCATAGTCCCAACTCCTTGTCAGCATAGCAGACGCATCAAAAATGGCGTTTTCTGTGGTTCCAGAGAACCAACTAACCAATCATAAGTCCATGAAGGGAACAATGTGGCAAGACATATACCAAACCAGTTCCTTTGTTCACAAGGCATATCACAACAGTCTAGACCGACTACGAAACGCCACCAGACAGCGGACACACGTGGGCGGGGCGAGGTAGGCGCCGGAGTTCACTTTTGAGAGTCGCTTCCCAAGGAGGCCCCCTGGCCATAGGTGTCGTAGGAGATGCCTGCTTTAAAGCAAATCTAGGGCCTGGAGGCGTGGCTCAAGTGATAGAGCGCTTGCGTGGCAAGCATTAGGCCCTGAGTTCAAACTCCAGTACCGAAAAAAAATATCTATTGGATTTGGGAATCCCCTTGGCGCCTAGCTCAGGTCGGCTGCTGAAATACCTGCATTCAGTTGTCTGGGTAGCGCAAGACGTCTTTACTGTTCAGTACCTGAAACAGGCGATGAAGCGGACACCTAAAAGAAGGCTTGAGCCTGCGCCGCGGCTCTGCTGCGTACGCGCGAGTCCTTTCTGTGGCCGGGGTGTGGCGCACTGTGACCTGTCAGCTGCGCGTGCGCGCGGTCAGCGCGAGGTCAGGGGTGAGGGGATGTCGCACCGCCTGGTGGCGGCCGCCGGCAGTCGGGCGGTGGCCTGGCCGCTTGTCGTGCTGTGGCGATGTGGCGGCAGCCCAGGAAGCGGTGGTGTGGCCTGGACTGGCCGGAGGGCCCTCGGCCCGGCCTGGCAGGTGAGCGGCAGGCACTACCCGGCGTACCGGGCGGCGGGGCGGGGGCTGCGCCCAGTGCCATGGTGACGCTATACATCTGCGCCGGTCGCGGCGGGAGCGGCCACTCCCTGATCACTGCCCCGACTCTAGCAGAGTCCCAGCGGCTTAGGCTGCTGGCACCTGTGTGAATTCTGCGTTTCAGAGCAGCTGCTGCTCTCCTCTTGCTACCCCTTTCATCCCCTAGTTCCTGTCATGTCGCAGACGCTCTTCCCTTTGCGTGTTCTCCCGCGGAAGTTGAGCTGGCGTCTCCAGCCTCACGGCTCGCTCTCCGGAGGGGTGGGATTTGCGCTCGAGTCCTCTGACTTCGAGCCCGGGTTTTCCCCCAGCGGCTGTAGTACCTTAGGTTTATGTGTGGGAGAGTTACTCTTCCAGCCAGAAAGGATAACGGACAAGAAAGAGTTTTGTAAATTGTTACCGGTGTTCTTTATTCCGCGAACATTCGTTGAACCCCAACTATATCTCCCTCTTCAGCTAATGGTGCCAGAGGGCTTAGTGCATCACTTCACACGTGTTCTCACGCATGTCTTAGGCCTGTCGAGTAGGTTAGCATTGCATTGCTGTAACTTTCTTTTTCTCTCCTTGCGCTGGGAATCGAACCCAGGGAAAGTGCTCTACCACTGAGCAATTTGTGGGCCTGTGTCTTTATGAAGGAAATTAGATGGTCTTGGAGTTCTTTCCGAGGTTGAGCCATTCATTCTTATCTATTCAGCCATTTATTCTTATCTATTAGACACATTTATTTATTGACATTCTATGAGCCAGGGATGTCAGGGTGAACCAGACAGGCAAGGGCTCTGCCCTGACAGCTACTTTTCCTTTGAAGGCTTTATTATTTGTGGGCTCATTCAAAGGCTGGAGAGGCAGTAGCAGTTTGTTTAATAGTTAAAAGATGTATTTTAGCAGTCAGCGCTTCTCAAGGGAAGCCTAAATTGAGTCTTCCGTGTGGTCTTTTTTTGTTCCCTGAGCTGCCTACATTCTCCTTGGACTTTGAGAGTTTACGTGGTGTGTGAAGACAAACCAGATGATAGGCAAAAAAAGAGTTTATGGCATGTTTGGGGATTAGGGTTAGGAAAAGGAGGAAAAATAAGGGAAATAAGTGTGATGGTCTTGAGTTCAATCCCTAGTACTGGAGGGGGTGGAGAGTAAAAATGAAGAGAAGGGAATGGTGGAGGGATATGCGACATGTTTTAGGTAGGATAGGGAGTCCCCTACAGGAGTAGAGGGATGGAGATAGGCTTGCCAGGCAGGTAGGTGCAGCTGGTGTGTTCTGTGTTACTAAAATGAAGAAAGAGTTAGTGAAACACAGTGAAGCCAGGGAGGGACAGAGCCTTGTAGACCTGGTGAGGTGTGAACTGTGTTCTGTTTATGTCTGTGAGACACAGAGAGGGGTCACCTAATTTGTGATCTGGCTGGAATGAGACCTTGATATGCCCAGCTTCACATCTTGGCTTTGACCATGGAAAAACCAAATCAACAAGGTTATCCATAAGCTGTGAATTGATTGATAGAAACCAGACTCCAAGAAGGGAGAGTATATCAGTCTCGATGTTAACAATGAAAACTATGTTTGACCTGATGTCCTCTAATCATATCATTAAAAGACTAAATCATGAGTTTAAAAAAAGGAATTAGATGTTGTATCAAGTTTTGGAGGCCTGAAGAATCATACTTTGTACTTTTGGGGCTGTAGGCCACCATTAGCTATGGAGCTACCAGTGCCAGAGTTGCTGCCTCCTTGGGATGGAGAAGCCATGGAAGGTTTGGGAACCAGAATTCTCATCACACACCTCCAGCTACCAGTTGTCTTTTTTTTTTGGTTTGTTTTGTTTTTTGGTGGGACTGGGGTTTGAACTTAGGGCTTTGCCCTTGCAAAGCAAGGTGCTCTACCGCTAGAGCCACACTTCCAGTTCATTTTTGCTCTGGTTATTTTGGAGATGGGGGTCTCATGACTATTTGCCTGGGCAGGACTTGAACTGCAATCCTCCCCATCTCAGCTTTCCAAGTGGCTAGGATTATAGGTGTGAGCCATTGGTGCCCAGCTTTTGTTTTTTGAGACACACCTTGCTATGTATCTTAGGCTGACCTTGAACTCAGGTCTTCTGCCTCAGCCTCCCCAGCTGTCTTAATTTGTGCTTTTCTGCCTCTGCAGTGAGGATGATAACACCTACTTTCTGAGGATGGGTGGTAAGGGTCAAATGAAGTGGCTAAGGTGTACTTGATATCTTGCAGCTGCCCAGTAACAGTCACCTGCTCTTTGTCTAGATTTCCTGTTGACCTACACTTTGCTACTCCTGGGTGACAGTGTTGTTCAGGACATGTGAGACCCTGTCCTGTTGGTGCTGGAATGACTGCAGCAGAGGTCCACTCACAGAAGTTCTTCTTTCCCTCTCAGCCTTTCCTTGTGATGTTATTGCTGTTGCTGCCAGCGTGCTTGTTTGGACTTTCCCTGATTTTTCTTACGGTTTACCTTTTTAGTCCACTATGGCCTTTGATAGGGATACTTGAATAATTTAATCAGAAGGTTACTAATTGAGGAATGAATTTACTTTGAGGAAATAGTTAGTAGAGTCTGCCTCATCTTGAATGTTGACCAAACTAAAATACAGGTATCATCACCTATAGGTCTAATTTCATTAAAATAAAATGAATTCAATTTGGATTGAAGACAATCAAATTCTGGGAATTTTGTTGAATACAGCTAATTCAGTGTTACTGACTGTGCTTAGATTTTATTATTATTTTTATTATGTTGCCTTTTATTGCAGTAGTTTTTATGGCAATGGCTTCTGACCTGTAATAGTGAAAAATCTAGGGCCGGGGGAATGGCTGAAGTGGTGGAACAACTATCTAGCAAGTGTGAGGCCTTGAGCTCAAATCTAAAAAAAGAAAAATAGCCTGGGTGCTGGTGGCTCATGCCTGTAATCCTAGCTATTCAGGAGGCAGAGATCAGGAGGATCATGGTTTGAAGCTAGTCCCAGGAAAATAGTTCATGAGACCCTATCTTGAAAATACCCAACACAAAAAGGGCTGGCAGAGTGGCTCGAGTGGGAGAGTGGGAGAGTGCATGCTTAGCAAGCGTGAGGCCTTTAGTTCAAACTCCAATACCACCACCAAAAAAAAAAAGTTTCTTGCCTCATGTATTAAGGTTAGTAATTCATGGTAAAAACTGGTATTTTCTTCCTGGAGGACTGAAGAAATACAGGGGAATCTGAAAAATTGTCTGTCTTCTAGGCTTGACAAAGACAGGCCTAGAACCTCTGGCTGATATAAATTATAGTGCTTTCCTATATTTTAACTTGATAAGATTTTAGTTTTCCATTTTTTTTTTTTGATTCTGGATCTTGCTTTGTAGTCCAGGCTGACTTTGAACTCTAGCTCTTCCTGCCTCAGCCTTTCCTGCCTTCTGAGTGCTAGGATTACGGGCATGGATATATATATTGTTTTCTTTTTTTCGGCTGTATTGAGCCTCATGCTTGCTAGGCAGGCACTCTACCACTTGAGCCACTCCGCCAGCCATTTTTGTGTTGGGTGTTTAATTTTTGACATAAGGTCTCCTGAGCTATTTGCCCAGGCTGGCTTCAAACCGTGATCCTCCTGATCTCTGCCTTCTGAATAGCTAGGATTACAGGTGTGAACCACTGGTGCCCAGTGGCATGTTTGTTTTTGAAACCGAAATCTTTTGTTACTAAAACTACCTCGGTCAAGAAATGGTTAGGGATTTTTTTTTTTTTTTTTGCCCCTTCTTTTGGACGCGGTGACTATAAAAATTTGTCATGCTTTTCTGCTGTGAATTTAGTGATTAAATCATGTTTAAACAGTTATTTAAGTAGATAAATAAGGGTAACAAACTTATACCTCAGCCCATATCCTGTCCTTTCTACCCTGTTAGGGCTGCCTTGTATTGCAGAAGCAGCTCATCATCTAACCCTTTCTCCTGTTTCAGTGCCTCCAGGGGATCTACTTTCAGCACTTGGCTCTGCAGGGAAGACTGACTTCATTTTCCCAATGGTTGTGTTCAAAACCACCCAGAGGTACATGTCTTTTTTTTTTTTTTTTAACCATCATTGGCAGTGTGATGGTTATATGAACTAGTGTAGCTTTCTCAGAATGTCTTCCACATTGACCAACCTGGGGACAAGGGCAAATAGTTAGTATACTCCCACCCTGCCTTTTCTAGTTTACCTGTTGAGCTGTACTACAGTACCCTCTCCATGCCTTTACTATTTTGATATCTCTGTGATGCTGGCAAAAAAGAAACTCTGAGAAGGAAGTTGTTTGGTGACTCGTTTGGAGCAAACCTTTGTTTCCGTATAGCTGATTCTGAGAACTAGCAGAGCCTCATTTGGAAAGTAAAACAGATAATGTATAGGCTATACTGAGCTCGAAGTATGTTGGTGTACTTGGAGCCCTTCAGGCCCTAGTCCTGTGTTTAGTGTTCTGTGTGTAGGGACACAGAATACTACAGAAGCCTCTGGAGATCCTGGGTCTGCACAGAGTAGATGATATTTCCTAGCCCTATCCCAGTGTTAGGACTTGGGGCTGCATGTGGATCATGTCAGGTAAGAAGAAAGGAAGGAAAGCTGATTTCAATCTTTCTCTATCCTGAATTGACTCTATTGTTGCTTTTATGAGTATGATTTTTTTCTCTTAAAGTACTAGAACCTCTTCATTATGTCCCTAAGGGTTTGAGAAATTCTTTAAGAGAAGTGGAAGAAACACACACTCAGAAAATTCAACAGCTCCAAAAAAAGGTAAAAGGGTCATTTTGATAAATCACACTGTCAGGTTGTACACTCAAGTGTTCTGGGTTAATCTCCTTGGAGGGGAAGTGGCAAGCAGATGGGCCTGTGTATGTAAGGTTGCCCTTCTCTTCTCTTTGTTCATGCCTCTTGCTCCCAAATAGTGCTTTTCCTTGTCCTGACTTCATTTCTTAGCACCCTCTCAGCTTGTTTGGATCTAAGCCTCTATGAAACTCTTAAGTTACATCATGGTTTGGTGATGTAGATTCAGTTTTGGGATCGTTGAAGTCAGTATTTAATATATGTGTTTCTCTTATGAAAAGTCTCCTGCCTAGGTACCCATAGTATGAAATAGGAAGAAATACACAGAAGCATATTGGGACATGTTGCAACATGCCTTGACTATAGATGGAACATTTCTTTGAAGACTCATGTTTTTCTTAAAATTTATTTTTGGCAGTACTGGGGTTTGAACTCAGGGCTTCATGCATGCTAAGCAGGAGTTCTGCCAGTTGAGCCACTCCACCAGCCCTTTTTGTGTTGGGTATTTTCAAGAGAGAGTATTGTGAACTGTTTGCCCAGGGCTGGCTTCCAACCATGATTTTCCTGATTTCTGCCTCCTAAGTAGCTAGGATTACAGGTGTGAGCCACTGGCTTCTGACCCCCAGATGTCTTTAAAATTTGTGCAAACTGGACTGGCAGAGTGGCTCAAGCAGTAGAGTGCCTACCTAGCAAGCATGAGGCCCTGAGTACTGCCAAAAAAAAATTGTGCAAATTTTTCTCTGTTTCACAATTCCTTTTGCCATTTCTGGGTTCAACTTGGCTTTATTTAGACTTAGATAGTATCCTTTTGGGGCTGTTAGAGTGGCATGTGTGTGCAAGAGGACAATGTTATGGCTTGTTTTGTCTCAGAACTTACATGAATGTTGCAAGAAGAGGCTCATAGACTTGACTTTCAAATATAGTCCGTAGGTTACATGTATACACACAGGGCATGGTTTTTGTTTTTGAGACATGAATCCTGTCTGAGAGCAAGTGAAATGTGTTCTAGGTCTATTGAGAATGGGGTCCACCAGTGCCAGCCTGCATCATCATCATTATTATTATTATTATTATTATTATCATTACTATTATTATTTTGTTTTCCTTTGCCCTGATTCCAGTCATTGTATTCTTAGCCAAAAAAAGATTTGTAGTTAGAGCTTAGGTCCAAAGCCAGCAAGGTGAAATTTGAGAGATTTTATATATATTGAAGCTACTTCTCAGCAATATCTTCTAGCTTCTTCTTTTTCCTATTCCCTGTTTGTTTCCAGAAGGCACCAGGGTAATTAAGTGCTTACGTTGGGAAATGTTTTCCTGTTTTTTGAAATCTCTTTATCTGGGAAATTATATGTAGTTGTCTTGTGAAGTCAGACTTTGTTTCCTCTTAGAAACTGATGAACCAAAGAATGCTGGGCCTGGAAGAGATGGAGGCAGGAGAGGAGGGAAGTGGGATGACTTTGCATGGTGGAAACGGATGCAGAAGGTTTGTGTGCATCTAAGGACCAGATCCAGACACCCTGTCACTTCTCCAACACATGCAGTTAGTTGCTGCAGAGCTGAGACTCTGTTTGATCTTTGTTTTAGTCTAGCTGCTTTCACAAAATACAAAAATATACAATATATGTGGTGAATATGATTAAAGTTCACATGCATTTATGAAAATATCACAGTGGCTAGGTGCTGGTGGCTCATGCCTGTAATCCTAGGTACTCAGGAGGCAGAGATCAGGAGGATTGTGGTTCAAAGCTAGCCTAGGCAAATAGTTTGAGAGACCCTATCTTGAAAAAACCCATCACAAAAAAGGGCTGGTGGAGTGGCTCAAGATGGAGGCCCTGAGTTCAAACCCCGGTACCATAAAAACAAAAAAAGTGAAACCCCTTTGAAATAGTAATCAAGAATAAACAGCATAAACATCTTCATAATTATGGAGGCTGGAAAGTGCAAGATCAAGGTGCTGACAGGTGCATTGTCTGGGGAGGGCTTGGTTTCTGCCTACAAGGCACTTTTCTTGATGCTTTCTCCAGGGGGTCCAAGGCTATGTTGTCACATGGTGGAAAGACAGACTCCCTCGAGCCCTTTAATGGGGCACTAATCCCATTCATGAGGATGGAGTCCTCATGATTTAATCACTTCCCAAGAGCCCTCCTTATACCATTACCTGGGGGGTTGAGTTCCAACATGAGTTTTGGAGGGACAGGTATACTCAAGCCTGTTTGTTTAGGGCCAACAAGCAGTCTGCTTGTTTAGGGCCAAGCTGATGAATTAGTTCAAAGATACTAAGAGTTTATTAAAATGTGTTGAGATTTCTGTCTGAATTGTCAGAGACCCAGGCAACAGAGAACCCTTGTGTGAGGCAGGAACAGAGGCAGAATTTTTCATGGGTATTCTGCTTCTCCTGGGATGTCTGCTGAATTGTAGGTCTGGTGTGTGCTTATACATCACATAAACCTTTCCTGAGAGGAAAGGTTTGGTTTCACCACATACCTGGCCCTGCTGTGTAGTGTAGGAGAAGTTTCAGAGGCTTCTCTAATAATGTATGAAAAGAGAAATTGCTATTTTTATAAAGAAAACACCCTAGAGGGCTGGGGGTGTGGCTCAGTGACAAAACATTCACCTGGCCCTGGGTTCAATCTCTAGCACTGCAAAAAAAAAGAAACGGAAAAGAGAAACCATGTCATTTAACTAGAAAACGTGTTATCTTTTCTTCTCCAGGGGGAGTTCCCCTGGGATGACAAGGATTTCCGAAATCTGGCCATTTTGGGAGCAGGTGTTGCTGCAGGATTCTTCTACTTTTATTTTCGAGATCCTGGAAAAGAGATCACCTGGAAGCACTTTGTACAGTATTACTTGGCCAGAGGTCTGGTGAGAATTATAGTCTGTCTACCAGGAAGAGGGTGTTGTGGGGCTATGCCCTTGCAGGAGGTTTGCAATGCCCTGAAGAAGCTATGAGCTCTGGGCAGGAATGAGAGTCAGTCCACTGTACGATGGATGTCCTGAGCAGCCCATCTTGAGGTGTAGCCCAGACACAGTCTTACTTTCTTGGACACTTTCCTAGCAGAACAGTGTCAGGTCCACTCTCTGGCTGGTTGGAGGCCACCTTAACATCATGACTTTATCTTTTTTTTTTTTTTTTTTTAAGCCTTGTGTTTTAAGACTTTGCTCTGTATTCAGTTTCATATCTCATTCAAATCTTTTCTCTCTCCTTACTACATCCTTGGCCCCTGCTGGCCATCTCCTGAACAGTGGGCTAGAGCTTTGTGTCTGTAGAGTAGCATATGCCAAGCCTTCTTGTCCTTCATAGGAAGTGTGTTTGTCCATCAGTTCTCTAAGGTTGGGTGGAGTACTGCTCAGGATTCAGTGTAAACTTGAATATGAGCAAGCTTTGCTCCTCGGTTTCCCTCAGAAGGGTGTTTGCTAAATAATGCAGTGTTAAGATCTGAACTCCTGTTTGATGATAACTGTGGGGAACTTGTATCTCACTAGGGTTCATGGCCACAGCCTTTTTTGTGTATCTACAGGGCACAGCCTATTTCAGAGAGGTGCATGCTTGGCAACTCTCCCTGCACTAATGGGGCACAGAGCTGCTGCCGCCCTTCCCTTCCCATGGATCTGCCACCTGGAGGTGTGCTGTGAGGATGGTGAAGCAGGTGCAGTGAGCCCAGCATACCTTCCTATGAGTGGATCCTGGACAGATTCCAGAGTTTTCTCCAAGTCCTTTCTAAGTGTCTGATATGATGGACAAGGACGTGGTTGTGCTACTGAATGTGTTTGTATTAGTTACATACCCTAAGTCTTCATTTAGTTTCCAAGAGAAGATGTATTGTAGCAGTTAAGATTCTGTGATGAGCAAAAGGAACAGGAATGCTGTTATACTTAACAAAATAGGTTGCACCCCAAATTGTGTTTTCTTTCTCCTCACTTTTCAGGAAGTACATGTTAGTCTGTTGTTGAGGTACATGTAGCAGTGATGGCAGCTCATGATTCTCTAGGACTGCGCTTTCATCCTTGCTAGCATCGTTTTCTTGTGGAACCCACATCTGGATGTGGTTCCACATCACCTCTCACTTAAGATTTTCCTGTACTGGCAGTATAAGTCTTACTTATATTCCTTTTCTGCTTTTGAGCCAGTGTAGAATGGTGCTCAGATGAGGCAAGTTTTAGAAATTCTTCTTAAATTGGTTCTTGTTTATGTAAATGAAAATGGATTTGTACCAGGCCAAAATGTCCATGATAGAACAAAACTTGGCCTGGGCTACAGATGGTATGCTGTCTCTGGGATGCAGTTAAGCCTGTAGCTGTACTGTTCATGGTTTGCTTGAAGGTCCTGCTTACTGTCTTAGCTGTTCTGATTACTTTTTTCTTTTTCCTAGGTGGACCGACTGGAAGTTGTGAACAAGCAATTTGTTCGTGTTATTCTTGCCCCTGGGACAAGCTCTGAGGTGAGGGATGGGTTTAAGGCCAAGTGTTCCAGATACAGTTTTATAAAGTGTAAAATGCGGTTTTTGTCTGTCAGTGAATTCTTCTCCTGGTGTCCAACAACCCCTTTTAATGTGATGGTTTAGTTTCATTGATCTATATTATTAATGATGTCTTTTAAGTAGGACAGGAGCCTTTATAGGACTATAGCCAGGGTTTAGTTTTGCCAAGTAATGTATGAGAACCACTTGGCAAGGTTTGGAGGAGTGAAGAATGAAAAGACAAAGACAAAAGGACAAAGGGAGACTTTGGTAGTTGTGCAAATTTTTATACTTTGTCTAGAACTTACAGCCTTTAGTTTTGTGGGACCAGAACTGAAGGAGCTTCTGTTGTTTGCATAGTCACCTTTGGAGCTTGCCTCAGTATGGGATTCGTCCATTTGTTGATGATCAGGGTGGGAAAAGAGGCTTTACTGGAAGAGGAATCAATAAATGAGAACACAGGCTGTGGACAGCTGTGTGTATCAGGGAGAATTTCTGTGGGACATTGTGGTATAGCCTAAACCTGTTCTTGGTCTCTGCAGAAGTTCGTGTGGTTTAACATTGGCAGTGTTGACACCTTTGAGCGGAACCTGGAGTCTGCTCAGTGGGAGTTGGGGATTGAACCCACCAACCAGGCTGCAGTGGTCTACACCACTGAGAGTGATGGGTGAGTGGTAGGTATGAAGTGGATAATGCAGGACAACTAGTCCAGGGCCTCTGATTCTGAATACAAAACAAAAATTCAGTGTTTTCATTTGTAGTAAAAGAATATGTATTTGTTAGGTCTATTTGTATCTTTTTTTTTTTTTTTTGGTGGTACTGGGGTTTGAACTCAGGGCCTCACATTTGCTAGGCAGGTGCTCTACCACTTGAGCCACTCCACTAGCCCTATGTTTTTAAATTTTTATTTGTGTTATCCAGGCTGGTCCCCAACTCCTGGGCTTAAGTGAACCTCCTGCCTCAGTCTCCTGAGTTGTTGGAACTATAGGTGTGCATTTATTGAGAAGAGAATTGAGGCAGGGAAATATTTAGCTAGGCAGCCTTAAGAAGTATTGGATGGGGCTGGGCACTGGTGGCTCATGCCTTTACTTCTAGCTTCTTTGGAAGGCAAGATCAGGAGGATAACTATTTGAGGCCAGCCTGGACAAATAGTTTTTGAGACTCTTATCTTGAAAATACCCAGGACACATACACAAAAAGGGCTGGCAGAATGACTCAGGTGTTAGAGTGACTGTCTAGTATGTATGAGGCCCTGAGTTCAAGCCCCATTACTGCCAAAATAAAAAAGAAAGTGTTAGATGGTAAAAATAAAACAAATGTTAGGTATTGATATCACTGTCCTATCACAGATTCCTTGGAGCCTTGTAAGACACAATCTGGCCATGCCTCAAAATCCATGTGAGAGATCTTTCAGGATGTCTTTCCCCCCGCCCACTCCTGCAGACTTATTAAGTCAGAATGTCTGGTAGTGGGGCCTAAGGATCTCACCAGGTAGAAGGTCTCTGTTTGCACACTGTATACCTGACAGTTGGTCAGGCTCACATCAAGTTGTGCTCTGAACTTGCACTACACAGTACACTCCTGATATGATTATGTATTATGAACTTGAGGGTAAATACCAGACTAAAGACTGTGTGACAGCACAGAAGTCAACTTGGCTAAGCTTGGATCCTGTTCTCATATTTACTGTATGGTAATGTTATCACCTTGCCTTCTTGGCCCTTCACTCCCGAATTGAAAACAATCTGGAGGGTAGAAGCTCAGTACCAGCTTTAGCCAGGAGGGGCGTAATGAATAGGGATCCTGAAGCTGGAGGTGTTGCTCAAGTGATAGAGCACCTGCTTTGTAAGCATAAAGCCCTCAGTCCCATTTTGAAAAAAAAAAAAAGGAATCCTGGTGGCTTAGTTGGTTTCTTCAACTTCTGTGTTTAAGGGTAGACTGGGAGGATTGCTATGTGAAAGAGAGAAGGTGAGTGCCTTAATCCATTTTCTGCTGCCGTAACAGAACACCACAGACTGGGTAGTTTATAAAGAAAAGAGAATTATTCTTCACAGTGTTATAGACTGGGAGCTCCAAGACTGAAGGACCACATTGATGAAGGTTCTCTTGCTGTATCATAACATGGTGTAGGACATCACATGGCTGGGGAGAGCAGAAGAGTAAGATGTGCAGTACTAAACTAACCCCTCTTTTGTAACTGACCCACTCCCTGAGAACTACCTTTTGCTAAGGTGACTTAATCTTTCATGAGGGCTGAGCCTTCATAGCCTAATCGCCTCTCAAAAGCCCCACCTGTTAGTGCTGTTACAATGGTAATTAAGTTAAATTAAAATTGGGAGGGAACCTTCAAGCCATAGCAGCAAGGTTGGTACAGTTCTGGGGGTGAATTAGCAGAATTCTAGTGATAGGGCCTGAAGTGCCTGTACCCTGTTGGAGCCCCTGAATGTCACTGGGGTGCTGTTTATTCTTGACTTGTTTTGGTGCTCCTTGCTGAATTGCTGGGAATACTGTCTGTATGTGGGCTGATCTGCTGAAAATTGAGGGTTTGTTTTGGGGACTGAAAGTGACTAGAGCCACCAAGAGGAGTGAGATGACCTCAGCCCTCTAAAGGACATGGGAACTCTCCCTTTTGCTGGTGTTTCTGTTTCCATTTTTATTATTTTTTTATTTGTGGGGCTGGGGATCAAATTTATTTCCAATTGTCAGATGAAACATAAAATAGATAACATAGTAAGAGATTCAGTATAAAATAGTTGTGCTGTGAGAAGACTGATGCTGCTGTCCTTAGCACGAAGGATAGATGGGTGTGGTAAAGGCTCCCTCAGGGCTGCCTGGTCACAGGCTGGGGCTTCAGCTTCCTCTTGTCCCATCAAACCTCCTGTGGGGTGGGTTGGTGTGGACAAGGTACTGTCAGGACTGGACAGGCTGATTTTGCAGGTAGACTTTGGCACATTTTGGAAAGAAATTGCCTCCTTTTGTGTAGTTCTGGAGGTCCTTGACTTTCCTCCTGAGTGGACTTGATGAGTGGTTTTCTTGGATCTTCCAGCTCTTTCCTGCGAAGCCTGGTGCCCACCCTACTCCTGGTTGGCATCCTTCTGTATGCTGTGAGGAGGGGCCCAATGGGGGCCGGGCGTGGTGGGCGAGGAGGGGGCCTCTTCAGCGTTGGTGAGACAACAGCCAAGATCTTAAAGAACAACATCGATGTACGATTTGCAGACGTAGCTGGCTGTGAAGAGGCCAAATTGGAAATTATGGAGTTTGTGAATTTCCTGAAGAACCCCAAGCAATATCAGGACTTAGGAGCCAAAATTCCGAAGGTACTGATCTCAGAAATGTGGGTATTTGACAAATTTTTTTGTCTTGACTTTGTGCAATTTACTAATCACAATAGAGGATGGAAATAGCATCTACACAGTAGGACAGTAAAACTCCTCTTATCTGTCAGACATTAGACCACAATTCTTAAAATTCTGTAAAATCTTAAATCTATAAAATTGTGGACATAGGAACAATATGTAGCCTTCTGAAGTGTGCTTATTTTAACTTAAAACACAAATGTCCATTCCTTTGTTCTTCATTTAGAGTCCAGTCCTTGCTTTATTAAATCAAAGTTTTTGAATGTCTCAAATAAACAACTTATTTTTATTTTTTAATGGTCCTGGGATTTGAACTTGGGCTTCATGCTTGCTAGGCAGGCGCTCTACCGCTTGAACCACTCTGCCAGCCTTTTTTTTTTTTTTGTGTTGAGTATTTTCGAGATAAAGTCTCACAAACTATTTGATGGGGCTGGCTTTGAACCATGATCCTCCTGATCTCTGCCTCTTGAGTAGTTAGAATTACAGGTGTGAGCCACCAGTGCTTGAACCACTTATTATCTACAAGTTTGTTTCTCTAAATTGAAGCAAAAACTTACTTAGAAGCAATCTGAGGCAGAATCTTTGTATATTGTTACGACTTTCTCTAAATCTTTCATAATTTTCTCACTCGACAACATTTTAAAGGACAATTTGTCTTTATTTTATTGTTTGGAGCTTTCAACTTGGCATTGAAGAAACTTTTTTTTTGCTCTTGTTTATTAACTTATGTAGTGCTAAATTGCATAATTGAAACAAGTACAACTCACATGAACAGAGGTGGGATCAGACCCAGCTGCCTCTTGGAAATCCTGCAGTCCAGTGGTGGGACACAGTTGTGTAACCAGCTACGGTGGGGCATAATGGGGGCTGATATGGGTTCTGGTGTCCTAGGTGGAAACAGAGCTGTGGTGAGGATGGCTGCTGAGTGTACAGAGAGCCATTGTGGTCATAGATATTTTTTGGGCCTGACAGAAGCCATGAGTTCTTTTCCCAGAAAGATTTGCATCTTGTACAAAAGTCACAGATGCTCCTAGTAGAGATGGTGCTTAGACAACACACAGACCCTTGCAGTAGACCCTTTGTACACCCCTAGCTCCTCCCTGGAAGTTGGGTACCACTGGACAGTTTATTCTGAACAGCAAAAAATATACAACAACTGTGAGCTTGGGGATTAGAGCCAGAGGGCTGGATATGTCTGTTTTACAATATGGTGAGCAGTGAGGCCAGAAAACATGTGGTTGTGCAGGTACAGAATTGTTGCCGTTCCCTAGTGGAGCCTTGCCAGCACCCATCCAGCTGTCCTGCACCTCTGTTGACAGCCAGGTGTTGGATTTCTTTCAGGAGCTTATTTACTTAGGAAAATTGGTATTTTCTATAAATGGAGTGAAACAGATACCAAGAAAGTCCTTTTGCCTGAAGTGTGGGTCACCCTCCGTCAGCTAGGCTGGTCTTTGTGAGGGGAGGCTCTGTCACCCTGTCTATTGTATTGAGAGCTCTATCGTGCACTCCCTGCTGTTTTGTGGATGTCAGAAAAGAGGTAGTGGAGTATAGCTCACCTGGCTGTCAAGCTCCTAGTTGTGAAGTGTGTGATTTCCAGTTACTCCTGCCTCCCCTCTGGAAGCTTTTAGAAATGAATTTGGATATTGGGGTGTCACGAGAGAGACAACAACTCAGAAGTCAGTAGGCAAGACAAAATTTACTTCTGCAGAAGGGTGTGCCACAAAAAGTCCAGTTAGTAAGCAGGACTTTTTTACCCAGTAGACTGGGCAGGAAGTCTACTCAGGATTTATCTCTAATGCAAGACTGTCCTTCACTCTGATTGAATGGGTTTCAGCTTCACAGTTTTCACAACTGGCTAATTTGAAAAGGGGGCATGTGGGGCAAGTCCCTTCATGGAGAGCAAAGATTTACTGGAACAATAGTTGCCTTAAGCAAGCAGTTTTTGAAACTAGGGCACCTGGTGATAACAGGAATTTGCTCAGCTAAGAGAAACTCTTTGTTTAAAACAAGAATTTACAGGGTTAAGTGACATCTCACAAGGCACTTAGGCAACAATTTGGGGAAGTTAAACTGTCATCTGTATAATGATAAATGTACCATACATTAACTCCCTTTGGCAGAAAAGACCTGACTTTAGTTGATTCTCACAGAACTTGTCTTAAAAAATTGGTTGTGCATATGGTCACACTGGTCTATTTCGTGAGCATATGGGCAGGGACATAGCATGCCATTGATGTGTTCAGCTACCCTCTTGCCCCCTGGAATGTTCTCACCCTAACAGTGATGGCTCATGAACTTTGTGTGGTACTTCATGTGGGTGTTAAGACTATACACATCATGGTCCGAGATGTACCAAACCCACATCTGGGCCATGGAAAAGGGGGTGCCCCTCATACTTTAACACCTTGTAGGTTTGAGTTTTTTGGGTCCCTACCTTACTTGTATATGTGTGTGTGTGTGTGTGTGTGTGTGTGTGTGTGTGTGTGCGCGCGCATGTTTAAAACATGTTATACTCTCCTCTGTGATGACCTGAAGGTAATCCAGCTCTCTGTACTAGAAATGGGGTAGTCCACCCCACTGCCCTTAAGTCTGTTCAACTTTTAGACATAACAGTAGTTCATAAAATGAAAATGAAGATGTGTTACAAGGATGTCAATTGGTGATTTTAAACTATAAGCCAGTGTAGGAAAAAGATCACAGAAGAGAAAGCAAGCACAGTGGACAGGAGATGTTCAGCCTGAGCATCTGAAGAGAGCCACTCAAAATGAGCTGTCTTGTCCACCCTTCAGACCAGCAAGGTGGAGCTTTCATTGGCAAAGATTCCGACAGTGGCTGTGGTTCACTCCTGGTGGGCATTGAATTGGCACCACCGTTTCGGAAAGCAGTTTCATGATAACCATTAAGCATCCTGGCCTTTTGACCCAGCTGGCCTAATCCTAGAGCTCCTCTTTTGGACAAAGCTGCTTCTATGTGTTGTGTGTGAGACTTTTGTTTTCTGTGCTATGCCTGAAATGTTTGTAGTGAATGTGCGATAATTTTATAAGCAGAAGAGATTTAAAAAAATCTTAGACTCTAAGAGTGATATGTTTGATGGGATTCTTGTTTGTGGATCTTGGAAGTCATCTGTGTAAAAAACCAAATTCCTCGTCACATCTAATTGGAAACCAGGACTGGTTTTCTATGTGACATTTGTCTGCCTTGAGAGCCAAGTGTGCCTTTTCTGTTGCAGGGAGCCATGCTCACTGGTCCACCCGGGACTGGCAAAACGCTTCTTGCGAAAGCAACTGCAGGAGAGGCCAGTGTGCCTTTCATCACTGTAAATGGGTCAGAATTCCTGGAAATGTTTGTTGGAGTTGGACCAGCAAGGGTAGGTGGATAGTGGCCAGCTGCAGAAGGTACTGGAGCAGTTCTTGACTAGGACTGGTCAGCCTGTGTAGGATCCTTGTGATGAGCCCAGAGTACATCCCACCTGGGAGATGCTGATGTACCAGAGGGAGGGTTCTGGGTGAACTGTTAACTCATGTCTGTGTGACAGGAATGAATGTAAGTCACAAAATAGGCTTTGTGGATTCCTTTTTCAGGTTCGTGATATGTTTGCAATGGCCCGAAAGAATGCTCCTTGTATCTTATTCATTGATGAGATTGATGCAATTGGCAGGAAGAGAGGCCGAGGGCACTTGGGAGGCCAGAGTGAGCAGGAGAACACCCTGAACCAGATGCTTGTGGAGATGGATGGTGAGTGGACACTGTATCAGGCCCGTACTGGTGGCACTGCCCACAGGTGCTCAGTTTCATAGGAGCTGTTTTGGCAGGAAGTCACATAACTCCTCCCTCCACTTTCTGTTTCTATAAAGACTCTCGGTGGCAGAGAACCTGATTGTTCCATTTTTTATTTTGGATTGTTCCATTCTTAAGGGATGCTACTCTTAAGCAAACATAGATAAAACGGTATTTGATCCTGTCAGTGCTCCCCACTGTGCAGTCACAGACATGGCAGATACACCCCCTCTGCCCTCCAGCAGGAGGGAAGTTACCTGGGGTGAGGACACTTGCTTCTCTGGGGAGGTAGATGAGTTAGATGAACACTGGTGTCCCTAATGGTGCACAGAGGATGGAGTGGATATAGCCATGTTCCTTGAGTTCTGAGTCTTTGTCCTGTTGATTTTAGAGTGATTCTAGCCAGAATGTGCCTTCATGGCACATGGCTAGCATTTATATCAGTTTTTGAATTTGGAAAAGCTTCCATTGAACCATGGCAGATTTTATTTTTACTTTGCCTTCATGGTCATGTTGGGTTCCGTAAAGCCTCAGGTTTGGCAGTTTGTGAGGAGGAGTCATAGGATCAGCTTGTACTCAGCTTTGGTCTATCCCAGTGAAAGGACATGCACCAAAACTAGCCAAGGGGGACCACACATGGGAAGAGGTTCACGGAGAATTGGCACAGGTTCCAGAGCCATCCCCAGTAATAAGCTGTGATAGCATGTTGGAGTAGTGTTGCCCAGGAGTCTCATGAAGGACTCAGTTCCCTGGCATTTTCATTGGTCCAGATGCTCAGGAAGAAGGCAGGTGTTCTGCATAAACCACATTGTTTGTATAGGCAGTTTGGTCAGAGGAAGATGCTGGTGGTGGCCTGGACCTTCCTTGGGTTTACCTGCTTCTCTTGTGTCTAGGGTTCAACTCTACCACCAATGTTGTGGTGCTGGCTGGTACCAACCGTCCTGACATACTTGACCCAGCCCTGACTCGGCCTGGCCGGTTTGACCGCCAGATTTACATTGGTGAGTGCATGTTGTTTAGATACTTGGTCCCAGTGTAATTCTAGCTACTCAGGAGGCAGCGATCAGGAGTATCATCGTTTGAAGCCAGGCTGGGCAAATAGTTCATGAGACCCTATCTTCAAAAAAAAAAAAAAAATCACAAAAAATGGCTGGTGGAGTGGCTCAAGGTGTAGGCCCTGAGTTCAAGCTCCAGTACTGCCAAAAAAGCAAAAAAAGATACTTGGATTTGGGTATCAATCCCTGGAATTAAGTTTGGTTAGTCCATTTTGCTGTGTGTTTGGTGGTGATTTCTATGCAGACCCTGAAGTAATTAACACAACATTGTAAAAATGTGGAGATGCACCAGAGCCCATGTTGCTGCTGGGTCTCACCCTTCACCCTGGCAGGCAACCATCTTCATCTTTTCTGACACATTCCCATCAGAACACCTTGGTCATGTGTGAACATCCCTTGCTGCTCAGGGCAATGCTTGGTTTGTTTGCTGTCAGGTCCCATGATGTTGGGAGTGGGTTTAATATTTCAAGACTGTTAGGAGGTATTTTAATGTGCTGCAGAGTCCAGCGCATGTGCACTTAGGCTGGTCTGCCATTGGATCCCAGCTGTGGTCAGATGATGATGGCAGGGAGCTCTTCTAGCTTTTCTTATAGTTTTGTAAAGTGTCGAGGGGAGAGGATGATGACACCTTGTCCTTTTTTTGTTTTTTTTTTTTTTTTTGGTATGGGGTTTTGAACTCAGGGCTTCATACTTGCAAAGCAGGCACTGTACTGCTTGAGCCACACCTTTGGTCCATTTTGCTCTGGTTATTTTGGAAGTGAGGTTCTTGAGAACTGTTTGCCTGGGCTGACCTTGAACCATGATCCTCCCTGTCTCAGCCTCCCAAGTAGCTAGGATTACAGGTGTGAGTCACCAGTGCCAGGCTGACACCCTGTTTTGAAGGTCTAGAGAGTGCAGAGCTTGTGTGTTTGTCTTTATTAGGTCCCCCTGACATCAAAGGTAGGTCCTCAATCTTCAAGGTCCACCTGCGTCCACTCAAGTTGGATGAGATCCTCCGTAAGGACGCTCTGGCGAGGAAGCTGGCAGCACTCACTCCAGGCTTCACTGGTGAGTTGCTGGGCTGTGCCACCTACTCTGGCAGGAGTGTTCAACTGTCTGTAGTTTGTAGTTGGTTGCTGTGCCTGCCTGTTTGATCCTGGCATTGCTTACTCACCCTGATCGCTAGAACTTTGAACCTGCTGAGACGTTTCAGAGGCTTCAAGGACTTCTTAGCCTAAAGCCTATTTGCATCCATTTGAGTTTCTGAATTTCTGTTTTAATTCTGTTTAGACTTAATAAACCTTACTGCAGAGACCAAAATAACATCTAGGGATGGGATGAGTCATATTATGCTGTGGTCAGGGCTTGAGCTCCAAGCTGGAGTGGTTCTTTTGCTTTTCTCTCTTCTTTGTGTTGAAAACCCAAAATTCCAGGCTAGGATATCTTTACCTACCAGAGTGGTCTGAATCCCAGGAGTGGGTGGGGACCTTTCAAAGGGACTTCCTGCCCTCTTTCTCCTCCTGAACAGCCCATGGCAAGCCACTATGTCATGGTTACTGTAGCAAGCTGTTCCCAGGGCTTCTTCCACCCCAGGTGGAGCCTCATTGCTCAGGCTTCCTACAGTGTCTTGCCCAACCCTGGGCCAAGTATGATCACACACAGGAATATGCATTTACCTGTGGCACAGTGGTGAGTGAGAAGTTCTTGCCAGGGTAGCACATGAATGGCTTTATTGGTCTTCTGCCTAGAATGTCCTTTCTGCTCCTTGTTCTCTCCTCTTGTAGAGTTCAGGTGTCCATTTTCATGCCAAGTTAAGAAACTAGATTAAGTTTCCCAGACTTTGGTTTTCCCTGCCTAGCCTTAGTGGGGAGAACTCAGCAGGGAGAAGTTAACACTGTTCCACACTAAGGAGGACTCAGTAGGGAGGACTCAGCACTGCTTCACAGAGGGGAGGACTCAGCAGAGAGAACCTAGCACTGGTTCACAGGACTCAGCATTGCTCCAAAACTCACTGTGGATAAGCCCTGTGCAGGCCTGAGGATGCTGTGTCATCAGAGTGCCTTTCTCCCTAAGGCTCATTGTGCCGAAGGGGTATGACAGATAGCCTCTATGCATATCAAGATGCTGAAGACAGGGAACTGTGTCCCTGTCATTTGACACACAGGCCATGTGGAATTCTCACAGTAAAAGAACTAATGGCACGTTTCTAAAAGCCACAGAAATCAGTTGTAGAGTTCCTGTGGTTCTGCTATTGAGACCTTCCTCTCCCCATATGTACTGTCAACTCCTGGGGAGGAGACGCAGCCATTTAATTTATTTATTAAAATCACTTTTTAAAACAATTTTTTTTTTTCTTGGTGGTATTAGGGTTTGCACTTAGGGCCTTGCACTTGATAAGCAAGCTACATCCCTAGCCCTTTTTGCTTTAGTTATTTTTTAGATAAGGTCTCATGTTTTTGCCTGGGACCTTGGACTATAACCCATGCCTCCTATGATAGTAGCTGGGACCACATGTCTGATTTATTTTGTTGAGATGGGGCTCTCACAAACTATTTGCCTAGACTGGTTTCCAACTGTGATCCCTGTCTCCTGAGTAGCTGGGATTACAGGAGTGAGCCACTGTGTCCAGTTAAAATTTTTAATTGGTGTATATTAATTATACAGAGGGTTTCCCTGGTATTCTCATATGTGCATACATTGCACTTTGATCAAATTAACCCCATGTATTGCCTTTTCTTTCTCCCCTTCCCCTTTATTTTTAGCAGTTTTTAGTGGGTTTCATTAGGCTATTTTTTTTTTTTTTTTTGGTGGTACTGGGGTTTGAACTCAGGGCTTCATGCTTGCTAGGCAGGCGCTCTTACTGCTTGACCACTCCATCAGCCCTCATTATGCTGTTTTCATAGACATAGTGTACTTTGGTAATATTCACCCCATCACCCTCTCCTTTCCGCATCTCCACCTCCTGAATAGCTAGGATTGTAGGTGTGAGCCATTGAGCCCATCTTAAAAAGTTCTTTATATCTTCTGCATACTATACCCTTATCAGATACCTGATTTTCATTCTGTGGGTTGTATTTTTATTCTCTTGATAGTATCCTTTGATACACAATGATTTTAAGTCCAATTGTCTATTTTTCCATTTTGCTCTTGTTCCTTAGCATATTTAGTAAACCACTGCTAATTTTAAGGTCATGAAGATTTACTTGAACTTGAAAATTTGTTAACAATTAGAGCCATGTACACTTTTATGGTAAATAAATTATTCCTTTCTAAGTTGTGTAACCAGAAAATTTGCTAAAAATAATGGTGACTGATGAAAGCAGGTCTCACTACCTTTGTGTTTTCCCAAAGTTTAACGTAGCCTCTGCTAGAGGATTTTCCCTCACCAAACTCAAATTTTTTTTTTCATTTTTCTTTTATTATTCATATGTGCATACAAGGATTGGTTCATTTCTCCCCACTGCCCCCACCCCCTCCCTTACCACCCACTCCGCCCCCTCCCTCTCCCCCCCCCAATACCCAGCAGAAACTATTTTGCCCTTATTTCTAATCTTGTTGTAGAGAGAGTATAAGCAATAATAGGAAGGAACAAGAGTTTTTGCTGATTGAGATAAGGATAGCTATACAGGGCATTGACTCACATTGATTTCCTGTGCGTGGGTGTTACCTTCTAGGTTAATTCTTTTTGATCTAACCTTTTCTCTAGTACCTGGTCCCCTTTTCCTATTGGCCTCAGTTGCTTTGAGGTATCTGCTTTAGTTTCTCTGCATTAAGGGCAACAAATGCTAGCTAGTTTTTTAGGTGTCTTACCTATCCTCATCCCTCCCTTGTGTGCTCTCGCTTTTATCATGTGCTCATAGTCCAATCCCCTTGTTGTGTTTGCCCTTGATCTAATGTCCACATATGAGGAGAACATACGATTTTTGGTTTTTTGAGCCAGGCTAACCTCACTCAGAATGATGTTCTCCAATTCCATCCATTTACCAGCGAATGATAACATTTCGTTCTTCTTCATGGCTGCATAAAATTCCATTGTGTATAGATACCACATTTTCTTAATCCATTCGTCAGTGGTGGGACATCTTGGCTGTTTCCATAACTTGGCTATTGTGAATAGTGCCGCAATAAACATGGATGTGCAGGTGCCTCTGGAGTAGCAGTCTTTTGGGTATATCCCCAAGAGTGGTATTGCTGGATCAAATGGTAGATCGATGTCCAGCTTTTTAAGTAGCCTCCAAATTTTTTTCCAGAGTGGTTGTACTAGTCTACATTCCCACCAACAGTGTAAGAGGGTTCCTTTTTCCCCGCATCCTCGCCAACACCTGTTGTTGGTGGTGTTGCTGATGATGGCTATTCTAACAGGGGTGAGGTGGAATCTTAGCGTGGTTTTAATTTGCATTTCCTTTATTGCTAGAGATGGTGAGCATTTTTTCATGTGTTTTCTGGCCATTTGAATTTCTTCTTTTGAGAAAGTTCTGTTTAGTTCACTTGCCCATTTCTTTATTGGTTCATTAGTTTTGGGAGAATTTAGTTTTTTAAGTTCCCTGTATATTCTGGTTATCAGTCCTTTGTCTGATGTATAGTTTGCAAATATTTTCTCCCACTCTGTGGGTGTTCTCTTCAGTTTAGAGACCATTTCTTTTGATGAACAGAAGCTTTTTAGTTTTATGAGGTCCCATTTATCTATGCTATCTCTTAGTTGCTGTGCTGCTGGGGTTTCATTGAGAAAGTTCTTACTATACCTACTAACTCCAGAGTATTTCCTACTCTTTCTTGTATCAACTTAAGAACCAAACTCAAATTGACCTGAGTAGAATCCAGTGGCCAGGAACACTGACTTGACTGCTTCTCATTTCCTGGGTTAGGTGCTGATATTTCTAATGTGTGTAATGAAGCAGCCCTGATTGCTGCCCGCCACTTGAGCCCTTCTGTCCGGGAGCAACATTTTGAGCAAGCCATTGAGAGAGTCATTGGAGGTGAGCCCACAGCCCATGGAGAAGGTCAGGCATTTCTGGGTGGCCCAGCCTCACTTTTGCCTATGGAAATGTGACCAGTTTTTCAAACCATTTGGACCTAGGGCTCTCCCAGAAGTTTGTGCTGCCTTCTGGGAGCTGCATGCAAGTCATTCGAGGGCTATAAGAAATAGGCGAGCCAGGTTTGGATGTGGAAAGAAGGACAGGTCTCCCAAAGGGAGGTGGGGTGGGGAGCTGGGGCAAACGGTATTTCCTGGAAAAAGCCTGTGGGAGTGTGGGGGCTCCTGCTGTTATTGTTGTTGTTTTTTTTTTTTTTTTTTTGTCACACTGGAGTTTGAACTCAGGGCCTCATGCTTGCTGGGCAGGTGCTCTACCACTTGAGCCATTCCACCAGTTTTTTTTTGTGTTAGTATTTTTGAGATAGGGTCTTGCAAATTGCCTGGTTTCACTTTGAACTATCGTCTCCCTGATTTCTACCTTCCAAGTAGCTACAATTATAGGTATGAGCCACAGGCACCCAGCTGCCTTTTTGTTGTTGTTGCTGTTTTTTGTGATACTGGAATTTGAGCTCAGGGCCTTGTGTTTGCTAGACAAGCACTCTACCACTTGAGCTATACCTCCAGCCCTTTTTGCTTTAGGTTTATTTTTCAGATAGGATTTCACTTTTTGCCTGGGCCAGTCTTGGACCATAAGACTACCTAAGGCCTCCTGTGTAGCTGGGATGACAGGCATATGCTGCCGTGCCTGGCTGTTAGTGTGTTTTCTTCTGCTTGGTCTCCTATTATCAGCCAGCAGACTAGACAGAGGGTGAGTCACATAGCCTCCTGCAGCTCAGGGAAGCTCAGGACTCCTCTGCTGGGCCAGCCAGGCAGAATCTGGAGTTCAGTGGTGGGTTAAGGTCTCCTAGTGTTGCCACACCAGGAGATGTTGGATGTTGCGCTCCCAGGTTCTGTACCTGGAGATGGGGATTAGGCAGGTGGCAGCAGCAATCACAATCCAGCCCCACACTGAGCTCTAAACTTTGCCAGGTGGGACGTTGTTGAGCTTCGTCTTTGAGTTTTTTGAAGTATAACATGTATAGCAGAGTACATGAAATGCTAAGTAGTCCAAAGCAACACTCACCAGAGCTTTTGAGGGTTGCCCTGGGGGATCTACTGAGCTGAGTATCCATGCAATGGCGTATGCCATTGTCTGCTTGTCTTTGTCCTGTACCCGCTGTAGGCTGCACTGTTAGGACATTGGGAGTTGTCCCTCCTTATCAAGTCATGTTTCTCAGTATGCCACAGAAAGTAATGTAGTGCCTCTGACCCACACACAACTGTTTCATTGACTTAAAAGTGACCTTCTGAAGCAGTATACTGGAGAGCTGCATGGGTGGCACATGGGCAGAGTAGACAAAAATGGGATACCCTCCAGAGCTGGGAGATGGTTTCATTGCAAAACACAGCAGCATGGAACTAGGCCTTGGGCCTTTCTGCTCTCTGGTATAGAGGAAGGGATGGGCTTCTGGCTGGGTCTTGGGAATCCAGTGTGGCAGTGGACACAGACTGTCAGTCTGGAGGGGTGGAGGTTGGGAATTCCTTCCCTGCTTCTTACTTGGTTTATAGGTCTTGAGAAGAAGACCCAAGTCCTACAGCCCAGTGAAAAAACAACTGTGGCCTACCATGAGGCTGGGCATGCAGTAGTGGGCTGGTTTTTGGAGCATGCAGACCCCTTGCTGAAGGTCAGTATCTCACACTGATTGTGTGGCTCTGCTGGCTGGGGCAGCCTCTAGTCCTGAGTGCTGCCTGCCCATGCAGTCCATATGGGCACAAGCCCAGAGACTGATCAGGCCAGGATTTGGCGAGGTGGGTCTGGGCAGCACTTGGGGGGTGTTTGGGGCTGATGAGAATGCTGGGTTCTGTCTTGCAGGTGTCCATCATCCCCCGGGGCAAGGGGCTTGGTTATGCCCAGTACCTTCCCCGAGAGCAGTACCTATACACACGGGAGCAACTTTTTGACCGCATGTGCATGATGCTGGGGGGCAGGGTGGCTGAGCAGCTCTTCTTTGGGCGGATCACCACAGGGGCTCAGGATGACCTGAAGAAGGTTACTCAGAGTGCCTATGCCCAGGTAAGGAACAGGTGTCCCAGCACATGGCCCCCGGCAGCCATATTGGGTGTGGCTAATCTGCTTGTCATGCACTTCAGATCGTGCAATTTGGAATGAGTGAAAAGCTGGGCCAGGTGTCCTTTGATTTCCCTCGGCAAGGTGAGGCCCTGGTAGAGAAGCCTTACAGTGAGGCAACTGCCCAGCTCATCGATGAGGAAGTTCGGCATCTCATCAGCTCGGCCTATGATCGGACCCTGGAACTGCTGACACGGTGCCGGGAACAGGTGGAGAAGGCAAGTGGGGTCTCCATCCAGGAACAGCCAGAGCACAGGTCACAGGTCAGGTTGTAGTTATGCCATGCACATTCTTTGGACCTGCTAAGCTTTGGGACTGGCCTGTGGCAGGGCAACCTAAGCACAGCTCTGTTCTGGGCTAAGCAAGAGCAGACCCCTCATAGTGGCCTGACAAGTGGCTATCCTTTTCAGGTGGGCAGGCGGCTCCTGGAGAAAGAAGTGTTGGAGAAGGCTGACATGGTAGAGCTGTTGGGCCCTCGGCCCTTCGCAGAGAAGTCCACCTACGAGGAGTTCGTGGAGGGAACCGGCAGCCTTGAGGAAGACACGTCCCTTCCTGAGGGGCTGAAGGACTGGAATCGTGAGCGAGAGGAAGGTGGCACTGAGCGGTGTTTGCCAGAGAGCCCTGTGTAACCTGTGTGAGGCTACCTGACACCAGTCACTGGCTGGGGACTCAGGCGACTGCTGCTACCCAGATTGTTTGCAAAAGCAACTGACGTAATAACTTGAAAAATTAAAACAGATGACAACTGCAAATAGACATTTTAGATAATGCATTCAGAGCCCAAAGAAGGGAGATGGCTGAGGAGTCAGAGGGATATCTTGAGACCATGGACCCTGTTTCTTAAAGTCAGTCACCCTGGGCCCACCACAGACATATACAAGGCTTTGTGGAGAATTAAGAAGTCATCTGCTGGTGGCTCACCGCTATAATCCTAGCTACTTCGGAGGCTAAGATTGGGAGGATTGAGGTTTGAGGTCAGCCTGGGCAAATAGTTTGCAAGATCCCATCTCTAAAATAACCAGAGCAAAAAGGACTGGAGGTGTAGCTCAAGCGGTAGGAGTGCCTGCTTTGCAAGTGAGAAGCCCTGAATTCAAACCCCAGTCCCACCAAAAAAAAAAAAAGGAAAACTGCAAGTGGGTAGACTAGGTTCTTTAAAGTCACTGTCTGACTTGTGGTAAGCTGATCAGTAATTAGGAAGGAGACCCACCATCCACAGGCTGTGGCTGAGAATGGACTCACAGAGCACCCCTGGGGGACCACCCCTGGGCCCTGTGGCAGAACTGCTTGGGCATGAGGGACTTAGTTTTCTCAGCAGAACCTGGCACCTTGTCTAGGGATTGGCCTGCCTTACTGACCATGGAGTGTCAAATTTAGTTCCATTCCTCAGTAAGCTACTTTTCCCCCAAGCCCCTTTTGTTGGAATTGCAGAGGGTGGGTGTGAGCTGAGCACCACAGCCTTCTCATCCTTGAAGGAGGACCTGCAGGGCCCAGATGAGTACTAGTCTCTCAGGTGCTTGCTGATTAGCTTCCTCCTGGTATTGGGGAGCTCTTGAGTAAAGGTTGTGAACTCCAAGCCCCCTTTGATACGTTGGGCTGAAGAGGCACCTTTTTCTTGTCCTTGGGTATGGTGAGGATCTGAGACTAAGGGCTTGAGGTCTGGTGGGGGTGTCCCTGCACACCTGAACTTACTGGATCACAAATGATAGGCTTTGAGCAATCAGCCATGTCTTTTGGGTAGGCTCATGGCCCTGGGGAGGCACCCCTTTGCTCACCCAACTGTCCCATGGAGTTTCATGGGTGACCAGCCAGGAGGAGGGTGGGACCCCCTCACTGCCCTCTCTGCCTATGGGGCTGGCCAAAGGGGAGACACTGGGACTTGCCTTACATTTTCTAAACTGTTCTTTGCTTCAAAAGTAGAATTTCCAACTGGAGTCAGGCACTTTCATCTTTTGCTGTGTACATTATTGAATTTTTTGTTGTTTTTATTTTTTTTGGTGGCACTGGGGTTTGAAATCAGGACTTCATGCTGAAGCTCGGCAGGTGCTCTACCACTTGAGCCACTCCACCAGCTCCCCGATTACTGAATTTTTTAAATCTCCAGGGTTCAGCCTGTATTGTGGCCTCCATCAAACCCAGATGAGTTGAGCCACTTGAGGTCCTGTTGGGGCCCTGTCCTTTGTCCCTCGGTGGGTCAGGGGGTGATCCTTCAACCCCAGAAAGCCTTTTGGTGTCATAGCATCTGTGTTAGGGTCTCCAGGACCAGTGTTGTCTTGGTTGTATGGTGTCGCTGCCTTGACTCACCTGTGGTGCTGGCCTTGCATTAACTGACAGTGGTTGGTTCCCACTAACATTGTGAGGCTGGGATCTGTTGGACACAGTCACCAGGGCCCTTTGAGATTATGGCTCCTTGTGTATTCTGGGTCCTCAGTGCAACTCATCTGATTATGCATGCCTGGGCTGTTTCTCACCACCATCAGGTGTGTCTTCCACCACCTTCACCTTGTTTGATCCAGGTGTGTTTTGTTTCCCCACCTTTACAAGTTGCTAGTTAATAAGCTGGAGCAGTCTCCTGCTCTGGTAGCAACTCACCAACAATCAGTTTTCCTGTCCATCCTGTGTGATTTGGGGGTTACCCCTCTGCCTGTCGGGTGATGGCTCTGTAGTACCCCATCCCTGGACAGCAGAGTGAGCGACAGTACTTTGGCAGTGCTCCACCCACTTTGGAAACCTCTTGCTGTCTTCTTGCTGTAGGTGTGCCAACCACTGAAGAAGTCTGCAGGAGTTGGGAGCAGCCATCCTCTTCCCCGGTTTGAACTGAAACAGCTAAGGCTGGTGGCCTGCTTTCTGGTTGGTGTTCTCAGCCTTTCTGCCTCCCTTTCTCTGAGAGGAGTGAAGGGGGAATGGGATACTCAGAATGAGCCAGAAGCCACACTCTTCTCAGAAAGTGCATGGAGTGTTGACTTCCAGTCCAGTTCTGGGTTCAAGCCAACACGGAACCTGGCTGAGAATTTTCCTGTTGGGAGAATCTAGGCAGGGAAGATCTGCTGAGGTTGCTGCCCCTGCCACAGGTCACAAGTTCCTGGGCAGAAAGCAGGTCACACCTGGCTGCTGTGTGTTCACCTCATTTCACAGGTTAAGTGGGGTTTGGGCCTCCCTTGTGGGCCCTAGAGCTCTTTTGGGACGAGTACACTGGAGATTTAACTGCAATTCCAGCTCATGTGGGTGGAATTTTGACTCCTTAGTGACTCCTTTTATTGTATTACTTAGGGACTGAAAATCCAGGGCACTTGTCCCTGAAATGTAACCCATATGAGTGCATTCTGCAGCACAGCACAGCAGAGCCCCAGCGGCGCCCTGGTGTCAGCTAGAAAGAAAGAGACCATGGTCAGGCCTTCAGATGGTGGTGAAGCTTTAATCCCACTCTAAATGGCTCCAGGAAGCTGTAGCAGGAAGGGTGGACAGTGGGGGGAAGACCCTGCTGGGTGGGGGTGGGGCCCATGGCTGCCTTTATGAGATTGAAAGAGACAGCTGCTCCGTTGTGTCCTTTGGCAACCAGGGATAGTTTTTGTTTTAGGAGAGTTTGTCAGTCAGGCAGGAAATGGACTTGCCTTTAGGGACCAACAGTGCAGAGGTGGAGGGCAGCTCAGAAATAGGGGCCTCCTAGATGTCCCTTGCAATGGGAGAAGCCCATTTGCATGCCTAGGGAATCTTTCCAGGAGAGTCAAATGAAAATCTTTCTTCCTTGGAAATGCTTTACTGGGAATAGGGCAGGGAAGGTGGCTTGGGGACACACACACACACACACACCACACACACACAAATTAAAATATTATTTCAAAACTAGTTTTTGATTCCTGACCAGACTAGCAGCCTGTTGGAGAGGCTGAGTTGAGATGCTCCAAATACTACCACAGACTGGGTAGTGCCTCATCTCCCCTGTCTAGGCTGCTCCCAGGATACAGACTCACAGGGTCACTGAGTGCATTTGACAGGCTGTGGGCAGGTGGTGCAGCTGGGTAGTTGGGATGTGGAGGACAGACACAAGTACATGCCCTTGTTATAGACCTGGGACAGAGTAGAGGATGAACCCCGCCCCCCACCCCCTAGCAGGCTGGGAGGTGTCATCAAGGTTCTGAGGCATTCTGGCGGTATTTGGTGTTCTGAGCTGCGAAGGAGGTGGACCAGGCCCTCAGTCATCACACACAGATGCCAGAAGTAGGTCTGGAGGTCTGGGGAGGGGACTTGAACCAACAGTGCCTGCCTTCTGAAATCAAGCTGAAAAGTTTTGGGACTGATTTCCTCCTCACCCACCCCCACCCTAAATGCTTGGCTGGACAGCAGAGCATGCCATGGGCCAACACCAAACCCACCTCTGTCTTCTGAGCTCAGTGGCCTGGGGAAATATGAGACTGGAGACACTCTCAGGGTTCTTGGAGTGGCTCTCTCACCCTGAGCCTACTTGGGAATCTGTGATAGGGAAGAGCACAGTTCCTACAGACAAGAGTTTCCACAAGGCCCAGACCACCAATTGTCACTGTTCACTCTTTGTTTCATCCCCAAGTACTGACTCCACATAGTGTTGTCCCAGATCCAGGGCCCAGGAACCAGCTGGACATAAGGCCACTGGGCTGTGCTTGTGCTGGTGCCCAGAGGCATGTGCAGCACCCCAACCATGACTGAGCATCAAGAGGTGATGGCTGGAGCCTTGTGGGGTGGATGGAATGCATCCCTGGGGACAGGACTGTCTGGATTTGCCATTGCAGTGGTTGTCTGGCCCAGTTCCTGTGGAAGCTCCATGGGTGGAGACAGCTTAGTCCTCCTTGGGCCCCTCCACAGTGAGGAACGTGTTCACGATTGCAGCCTGCTGCTCTGGGTCACCAATGGGCTGCTTGTCAGGATTTTGCTCAGCCCTTGTCCTTGTCCAGGAGGGGGAGCGCAGGCAGTTGGCCCGGGGCAATGGGTGCAGACCTGGTGGGGATATGGGAAGTGAGGTTCAGCAAGGCGAGAGGCTGGGGTGGGTACATGGTGGCTTTGGCTGTGTACATAGGTCTTAAACTGGGCTGTGTGCACACGTGCATATGTAGGTCTTATCCTGCCTGATCTGTGCGTGTGTGTGTGTGTAGGTCTCATCCTGGTGCATGTGTAGGTCTCATTGTGGGCCATTGTGGGCAGGTGTAGGTTCCAGAGTGGACCTGAGGGTATGGGAGCAGAGACTGGGCCAGACTGTCTGGTGGGGACGCTCACTTCATTTGTTCTACCCAAAGGGCTGGAGGAGTGGCTTAATTGTGGCTTAATTGGTAGAGCATTTGTTCTACCCACCCTACAGCCTGAGGTGGACAAGTGAATCACCTTGATGTCCTTTACTTTTGGAGACAAACTAATGGACTCGTATCCCCATTAGATGGTGAATCCTATGCTGTGACCATGGGGATTGGGAGAGAGACACGAAAAGACAACATTCAGGGCTCTGCTGTGTGAGGTTTGGAAGAGGGAAGGGAGGATGTTGGGGCTGGCCTTTTCCCCACACACTGCTGCCCGGGACTCCAGACAATGGCAGTACTTCTTGGGAACCAGGTCAGTGAGCTGAGGAGGAGCCTATGTTGGTGAATGTGCCCCAACCCACTTTGTGTTTGGCCTAGCTGAAAATTCACATTTAATACAGCTTTCAAGGGACATCTTTGGCTTCTTGTTACGCATTTGAAAAGTAAAGTCAAGGAGAGGTAGATGTGATGGGAGGAAAATTCACCTTGGGTATATGGCAAGGTAAAATGTCAGCTGAATGAAATGGTGTAGAGGTGACAAGTACACATTACATGTTTGGGAAGAAATTGTTTTCAAAGTAAGGTTCTGGAAGAGCAAGGACCCTAGGGTTTCCCCAGCCCACCCTCCTACACCTCTCTCCCAAACCCAGTTCCAGCCTCACCTGCCGGGGATTCACTGGTAAGATTCTCATCATCAGAGTCTGCAAACACCTCGGCCAGCTCCTGGTCAGACATGTCGGTCAGCTCAGTGAGATCCAGGAGGTCAAAGTGAACCTCCAGAGAGGAGACACTGCTGAGAGGTTCTGGGGTCGGGGGGACAGCAGGAGGCACAGTCACTTACAGGTCCCTCTGACAAAACTCCCCAGGGACCTCTTCCCACAGGCCTAACACTAGTGCATTGTAACACTTGGGCAAACCCAGTGGCCAGACTGTCAGCTCTGCACACTCAAGACTGGAGAGCTTTCTGTGTTCTTCCATTTTACAGAGGGTACAGCTAAGACCCAGAGAGCCACAGCTGTAAGAGGACTGGGCCTAGATCAATTCTTACACTGCATTGCTGCCTTCCCCACTAAGGGCATGTGGTACTTTGGGGGAAGACTGGGGTCCCCATAGAGTGCTGGGCAGGTTATCAGTACTTACGCCTCCTCTCTGTGACCTGCAGGAGCCCTGGTGCTGGTATTGGGATTCCTGCTTCCTCTTCAGCCACAGGTGTGTGGCAACTGTCCCCTGTTCCATGGGTTGGGACACCTAGAGCAGTCTGCAGCACCTCAACCTCCTTAACGATCTCTGCAACGAAGACATGGTGTCACCTCGAGATTCACAGGATCCCTACACTCCAAGTCCAGGGCCTAGAGGGGGCATGAGGAGTTAGCAAGTCATGTCCTCCTTGGAGGCTCTGGGCAGTGACGGTTTTGCAGGATGGCCCTATACCAGGGCCTCAGACAAGGGGGCAGGGAGGCTGTTCCTCTCCCTCAGGCCCTGGTGTCCTCCCTGGGATGAGGGAGGTGACATCTGAGAATGGATGTCCAGACCATCATCAGGGCTAGGCAGCTCTTGCCACTAGAATTCCATGTTGGGCACATCATCCCCCAGTGTTCACATACTGCCAATATGTCTAATTTTTGGTTTGTCCAGGGTGCACTGAAGGATCCCTTGTAGGTGCCCATGTGAGCTGTCCTGTCTTTCCTCTGCGGACTGACTTTTCCTATTAAAAACCGATGCTGTATTTGAATTAAAAATGAAAGAAAATGAGCCCCACTTCACATTCCAGGTTATTTCTATGAAAACTTTTCCAAAAATCTATTGTTTTACATATGAAATTTCATATGTATATATATGAAATTATAATTTTTTTCTGTCAGATAAGAGCAGGAGCCCCTCAGGAATTGTTGGGGTGGAGACTGTGTCCCTTGGTCCACACAAATACCAGAGGCACCTTTCCAGTGACTGGCACCGTCACCTGGGGTCATTCTGGATTCTCCATCCACAAATCCATCAGCTCCTTTATCAGCTCTTGGCTGATGGGCTCTGAACTCATCCAGAGGAGCAGCTGCTGCCACGAGGGCTGCATTGGTGGCGGGGAGGGGGATACCCTAGGCTTGGAGTGCCAACAGCTGCCAGGGGCCAGCCTGCCATCCCCAATGACACAGGTTGGCAGCTTGGATGTTGCTTGGTGGGATGCATGAGTCTGGAGAGCTCCTGAGTACCTCCCACCCCTCTCCAACTGAGTTGAGGAAGATAAGGAAATTGAGTCCCTGCAGAGCTGGGGCACCCCTAGCCTCCTGAGTGAGGACCTTCTGTGCTGGAGGGGGAGGCCCCAACCTCCTTGGGGACATCCCAAATGGTAAAAGAGCTGGGAGGTGTGATGAGGACTGTCTGGAGTAGTCAGGATCATCCTGCTGACTGGCGCCTGCCATCTACCATTTATACAGTCCATGGCTTAATCATTGTCCCTTGCCCAGTTGACCATGTAGTACACCTGCCTATGTCCCAGGTGCCCTGAATGCTATCTTTGTGGCCCACCTCAAGCCGGGAGGCTGGTCAGGCTAGAAGACCTCCACTGGCATTTAGAATATGGTTGCTGAGGGTCTTCAGAGGGTGAAGTCACACCTTCTGGTGGGTGTGCCCCCCCCTCCACATCCAGCAAAGCCACCTGCCTGCCCAGAGCACATGAGGGATGTGACTTAGGTCCTTCTTTAAGCAGAGGAGCTGTGATGGTTTGAATCACTGTCCATAGGGTTGAAAGAGACCCAAGGATGGGCTGTGGCACAGGAGACCCTAGGTCCCTCTAGCCCAAAGGTAGTAGTGTGTGATTCTTTTTCTGTATGCTTGTGCTGTGCCTCCAGTTAAAAAATACCTCAAACCTAGAATATGACTCCACTCTGGATAGAAGGCTCAGGCCACAGTCTGCCTAGTGGGGCAGTCAGTCCAGATCTCTGACAGGAATATTGTGGCACAGAGGGCATAGGCAACAACTGGAGTCTCTGCTTTAGAGTCCCCTGCCTCCAGCTCAAGTACATTCTCACCTCTCAGACTCTGGTTTGAAGTTCCCAGGGCCCAACTCAGGCAGGAAGTGGATTTCTAAATGAAGGTGGGACAGAAGTGGGGTACTATTCACAACCATCCTCTTGTTTCCCCTCATCTATTTAATTCCTTTTTTTTTTTTTTTTGGCAGTATTGGGGTTTGAACTCAAGACCTCATGCTTGCTAGGCAGGTGCTCTACCACTTGAGCCACTCCTCCAGCCAGTTTCTCCTCATCTAAACAAGAAGGCCCTGTCCTTCATTTCTCCAACAAAGTCTAAGTGCTCCTGCTGTTCTGGGGATGAAGCCTGAACAAAATAGGATTCTGCCCTTGTGAAGGGTGGGCAGTGCCCAGGGGCACCTGGGGGCATTCTCCCATTTTAGGAAAGGATCAGGGAGGGTTCTCCATAGAAACATAGCCCTGTAAAGGTGAGAGGGAGACCTGTGATACTTGGAGGACAGACTGGTACTGGAACAGTAGGTGCAAAGGTACTGGGAGGAGTGTGGATCACATCTGAAGTACAGCCGGGGGGCATTGAGATGGGGACAGGACAGCAGGTGAGGGTGGTGAGGCAGGGGGGCATATGTAGGGGTGTATGCAAGCCATGTGGACATTTTCAGGATTTTGGCTGCTTCTCTGACCTGAGTAGCTGGGAGAAATTGCTGAAGGGTTCTGAGTTGAGGGATAGCATCCACTTGCATTTTTATAATGAGGCCAGTGAGAACACAATCTGGGTGGGAGGAAGAAGCCTTTAGGCACACCCCCACCTTCCATGTGCTGGGCCCTCCTGAGATGATGGCCCCACCCAAGATCTCAAATAGTAACCTGCATCTCCATCTTGGGATGGGGTGTTGGTAACACTGGCACCCTTCATTATGGATCCTATGATCACATGGGGCCTCAGCCCTGGGGCAAACTTCGAGCCCGCCATAGGCACAGTGGCCTTGTTAAAATGACTCTAAATTCTGTAAGTTGTGGTTCCCTGGTCTGTGCCGGGGGAGGAAAATGAAGAACACAAATCCTGGGGCTGGTAGAGTGGCTCAAGCAGTAAGAGAGCCTGCCTAGCAAATGTGAGGCCCTAAGTTTAAACCCTAGCACTGCCAAAAAAAGAAAAAAAATGAAAACAAGAACCCATCAATCTTGAGCTGGGTGTGGTGGCACATGCCTGTAATCCCAGCAGCATTGGAATGTGGAGGCAGGAAGATCAGGAGTTTGAGGCCAGACTGGGCTACATAGACCATATCAAAACAAACCAACCCCCCCAAAAATCTAAAAACAAAACGTGAATCTTGAGCCTGGGGATGTAGCTCAGTGGTAGAGCACTTGCCTATCATGCTTTAGGCCCTGGGATACATCCCAGCACTGCAGACAAACAAAATACCCTGAGTCTTTTGGTTGGAATAACCTGGTGGAAATGAGATTGAAGTCACGATGCCAGGGATAGAGGAAGTCTTAGTCCCCAGGAAGGGGCAAGATTGATCTTGGCACCTGAAGTGGTATGGCCACTGTGGAAAACAGCAGCTTCCCAAGAGATTAAGCCTAGAGTTACCACAGGATCCAGGAAACCCATTCCTAGGTGCTACCCAAGGGAGCTAAGATGTGTGTCTACACAAAGATGTGGGCGTGAGTGTTCACAGCAAGATTCACATTACTCAACTGAGGGTCAGCCATACGACCGAACATCTTCAACAACAAAAAGGAGACTGTGCTGGCACATGCTTCTCACTGAAGGACTTTGAAAATGTGAGAAGCAAATGTAGTCATAAAAGGCCACAAATTACATGAATCTATATGTTCATATGATAGTGTCCAGAATAGGGACACAGTAAAAACATTCCAGTATTACAAAGTGGTGAAGATGATACAACTTGATGAATATAATAACACTCACTTGTATGCTTTCAAAGGGTTAGTTTTTTTTTTAATGTGTGAATTATATTTCAGTGAAAAATAACCCTCAGTGGAAACAGGCTAACCTTGGTTGGAGTTGATGGGCAAACTTGGGGAAGTAATGCCACACATTAACATTTTCTGTGTTCCTGTGTCAAGCGACATGCTCAGCCTCAGAGTAGGTTGGACTTGGGCATGAGAAGTACAAGCTTGCAGCAGCACTTATATCCATCGCTATATTCCCAGGACCTACACTTGGTTCTAGAACACATTAGGTGCAAAATAAATGTTTGCTAAATAAATGGCGGGGGGAGGTGAATGAATGATCCCGAGGCCCCACAGTTAAGTGGTTGTGCTGAGAATCACCTAGGTCTCTCTATACCCTTGTGGCAAGCTCTTGTAGGAAGAAGGAACAGATTCCACATGGGCAAGACATGCTGCTCTTCCCAGGGTAGGAAGCAAAGCCACCATGACACACAGGTAGGGGTAGAGCAGGGGGCTGACAGCCTGGCAGAGCTAGGGGTTGGGTGGGCTCAGAGCCCTGTCCAGGGTAGAGGCAAGTGGGTGTTTCGGAGGCTCTAAGAAGGACACCCGAAGTGTCCTGGTCCTTAGCCCCAAACAGCACCTATTAAGGAAGGAGCGCCCAGTCCCCTACAGGGACTGGTGCTGTCCGACTTATAGTTGGAGTTGGGAACTGGTGTGCCACAGCCTTGCCCATCAGGCTTCCCTGAGGGTTGGCTGCTGCCACCTGTGTTATGCTGCGACCTATTTCCAACACATTCGTGACTGAGAAATTTGGCCCAAATCTTATGTTCCCTGCTGTGCTGTCAGGGCCAGGCCTCTGCACACCATTGAACAAATGAATTAATGAAGTGAATGAATAAATGCAAAAAGCAAAATGGCTGTAAGGAGTTAGAGATGGTCATAGAGGTAGGGGCCACTTGCACCCCATTTCCCTAGCATCTTTGTCCCTGAATCCAAACCCTCCCCCAGCATTTTAAGGAGGCTAGGACCTTAATCTTGACTCTTAGCTTCCTGAAGTCAGAGCTACAAGCCCCTCCCTTTCTCTCTGTAGATGCTCTGACAGGCCTGAGGTAGGGGAGCAATAGAGTCTTGGTGTTCAAAGGCAGCAGTTGGGACCCTTCTTTTTTTTGCAGTACTGGGGCTTGAACTCAGGTCCTCATGCTTGACAGGCAGGCACTGTACCTCTTGAGCCATTCCACCAGCCCACGTTGGGGCCCTTTGAGAAGGGAATGCTTCACACTCCTGTGCAAAGGTTTACACACTTTGATATTAAGAAACTATTAATTTGTTGAGGTGCAAAAGTGGCATTTTAATGATACTTTATAAAAATCTTTTTTTTTTGGGCCGTACTGGGGTTTGAACTCAAGGCCTCATACTTGCTAGTCAGGTGCTCTACCACTTAAGCCACTCCTCCAGCTATAAAAATCTTTTAATAGATAATTTCTCAAATGGGTATCAATGAAATATGTCTAGATTTGCTTCACAATATTACTGAAATGAGGTTGGCATGGTCTGGATGAATCAGCCTAATTAAGGGTCTAGGGCCAGTAGGTTTTACATGGATCTTCATTGTATTGGTCTCTACTTCTGTGTGTGCTTCACACTCTTCAAAATAAAGTGTCAAAAGTAAGTAAGAACTCAGATATGACAGTCATAGTCACCAACATGAGGTCTCATGAGATCCCAGGAAGCAGAGATCAGCAGCCCAGGATGCAGACAAGGAAACAGGGCTAGAGGTACTAAGGGCAAGAGGCTGGCTCTGAGTTCAGTACTTCATTTGTGCTGTTCCTCCCCAACCAGCAACTGCAGGCATCAGGTAAATGATTGTCTGCACTGAATGAGTTAGGGGTCTGAGGCCCCCAGTCAGTAAGTGATGCATTCAGAAACTCAGCCTGCTCCCTCTGTCCTTTGAGGCTTCTGAGAAGTCCTTCCTTTCCCTAGAGGAGGAGAGAAAAGACTTTAACCTCCTCTTCCAACTGCCTCATCACGGGCTCCCTCAGTCCTAAGGGGAAAGGGAGCTGCCGCCACTGAGGAGTGGAAAAGGAAAAGGGTGCACCGGTGGCCTGCCAACAACTCAGCTAAAAAATAGCTTGGAGACAAACCCTTCCTCTCCAAATCTACACCTTTCTGAAGCCCATGAAGCTGTTACTGGGAAGACCCAGAGTCCTGGGACCGTCAGTAGCAAGAGAGGGACTGTCAGTAGCAAGAGAGCTTGGATCCCCTCCACAAATGACAAAACCCCAATCCACTAGACTCTGGGTGTGTCTGGTGCTCAGATAGAGGGACAAGGGCACCCAGACACAATGGCAGGTGGATCTACTGCTTGCAGAAGATCCCAGGGACAGCCCTTGGGCTGGCTAGGAGGCCAGCAGAGGGGCAGGCTGGCCAGTACCCCAGACACCTGCTGGCTCCCTGGGATGGGACGGACCTCCAGGAAATCCAGGAGGTACTGGGCCTGGCCAGGCAGGTGGAGGATTTTTCAGTTTACATCCAAGTTCCCAGGCCATGAATTCCTGAAAAGCCCTCTGGAAAGCGACCTGAGAAGGGTGTGTGTGCCTGAGACTTTTCCATTATCAGCCACCACCCTGTTTGGGCAAGACTCCTGCGGTACGACCTCAACTCTCAAGGGACCCCCTGACAGTTGACAGGGGACGCGAGGAGGGGGCACTCCACACACCCCTCCCATTCCTGATGTGCGTGCCGCTGGGCCGCACGGATCCGCCATCCTGAAGCCTCGGGAGCCCTGGCGCAACCCCACGGTCTCACCGAGACCCTATTTAGCCCCGCGCCCCTTGCGGCCTCTCGTCCCTTGTCCCTGGAGTCGCTGCTGGGGCGAACAAAGCCGACGCGCGAACAGGCGGTCAGCGTCACCCCCACGCCTTTGCGGTCTGAGACCCCAAACTCCGTCCTCCGCAGACCCTCCCCGCCCCCCCTCCCTGGCTCGGCTGGGAGGGGGCTCAGCACTGAACTCTGAGCCACCCACCAAGGAGCGCTCTCGCCAGGGCTTCCCGAATCGGCGCGGGGAGAACAAGGGGGCGGGGACGCGGTCTGTGCGCCCCCAGCCCGACGCCGGGACCGTTTCCGGGAGGCGCCCGGCCCAGGCTCCCTCCTCTGGCCCGGGCGGGTCCTGGAGCTGCCCGAGGGTCTTCGGGTCTTCGCGCGGCGGATGGGTGGATCAGGGGAGGGGCTGAAGCCTGCTGCGGAGAAAGCGCAGCTGGAGGACAGGGGGCTGGGTCCATACTCACCTCCCGGACCGGCGCCTTCCGGGGACTCCATGCGGTCAGTGAGGTCTGAGAGGTGCACGGGCGGCGGCGGCGTCACCCGGCCCGGGCGCCCCAACAGCTGCGGCGGCGGCGACTCGGCCCCAGCTCCGGGCGCAGCGCATCGGGGCAGCAGCCTGGGGGCCGCGGCGGCGGGGAGGAGCCCGCGGGGCGGGGCGCGCAGCTGCTCCGGGGCGCCGGTCCCCTCCCCATCTACCCCAGCCCGGCTGCACAGGTGCGGCCCCTCCCGTCTCCGCGCGCGCCCCCTGCCGGTCCTGAGTCCGCAGACCCCTTTTCCTCCGCGGACCTTGACCGCAGCGCACCCCGCCCGATCTCTGTGCAACCTTCCGCCTGCGGTTGGGGGCCACTGCAGGCTCATTCAACAACCGCGCAGACTTCGGCTCTATTTGTTTACCCCTCCAGATATTTGTGCGGTGCCACCTACGTGCGGCACGTGGCGGCGGGGCTGGGGCTGAGAGTAAAGGGAGCACAAGGAGGGCCAAAGCGGCACCGGTAGCCTTGGCTGGGTAAACTTGGAATTGCAGATCATGATTAATGCTATACATCTACACTGGGGATGCGAGGGTGGAGCGGAGGGCGCCCTGGGAAAGGGAAGAGGGTCTGGGCGTGCTGAAAGAGCAGAGACCTGTCATTCTTGACTTCTGCCTCCAAACGCTGCTCCCGCCGCAGGCCTATCCGCAGACTCTGGATGTAGGCAGATTTGAGGGCTCATACATAGTGTACCAACTTCATTATGCACAGTATCTCCTTAACCTCCCAGTGATCACAAGAGATTGTGTTCTGATTTTCCAGGTGAAAAAACTGAGCACAGAAACCATAAGAAACCTGACCAAAGTTGCACAGCCAGGGCTAGAAGCAAGAAGGCCCACCCATGAGCCCTTGTTCTGCGCTTTTGCAAAAATAAAACAAACCAGAGAGAATTATCAGGGAGCAGAAGTTCATTCACAGTGGAAGAGGCAGCAGAGGAGGCAGTATGAACTGGTGGATGGACTTCAGTAGTGGCAAGTAGCTGACAAGGAAGTGTCAAAGGGGGGTGGTCTAAACTCCAAACCCTGAGTTCCTGCCCAGCTCCAGTGATACCAGTAACCAGCCCATGGCCTTTGAGCTTGAAGGTCAGCTCAGGCAGGCTAATAGTCCCCCCTTTCAGTTTACAAAACAACAAACAAGCCCTCTAAAGGGATTTCACAGACCATTAGGACAACTGAGTCTGGCCTCCTTGGTGAGACACAGCTTCCCTCCTAATGATGAAATTGAGCTATAGGGTGGGTAATGGGGACAGGCAGACAAGTGACCACCCTGGGAACTGGGGACAGTAGGTGGGCATGGGCCATTCCTTGTCAGCTGGGGCAGCAGGTTGTGTTTTTCCAAAATGACTACAGGGGTTAAAAAAAAAAGGTCTCGATGGTATTTCTCCTACTTCCATCAAAACATCAGGGACTGTGACTCCTCTGGCCAATAGAGTGTGGTAGTCATGATGTCATGTGACTTCCAAGGCTGAGTCATAAGAAACATTCAGTTCTCTGGGAAGGATCCTGTGAGAACCAGGTCGCCATATGGTGAGGAGGCCAGGCTACACAGAGGCCACCTCTGTTCTGGCTGGCAGCTCTACTGAGGTCCCAGCCAACAGCTGGTCCCCGCTGCCTTCAGGTGGTCCCTGATCCTGCTTTTGAGCTGTCCAGGAAGTGAGCTCAAAGATGAGGGGGCTGAGTGAGTTGCTGCATTAAGTCAAAGCCTGTTCAGATTCATCAGCAAAAGGAATTAGGTCACTGCCTTAAGCAACTGCCAGGGCTCCTTGTTATGCAAAGTGCCTGTAACAGTAATTGTTGTGTGATAGTGATTCCCACTTGAGAGATACAAAGTGAAACAAATGGGTTCTTGTAAGTTTTCCAGTTGGTCATCAGGAAGTCAGACTCTGGAAGCCAGTGTCTATATTGTCTTTGTTATTAAGGACATTCTCAAACACTCAACATTCAAACACACAAGTGGGGAGAATGACACAATTAATCTGTCTATCATCCTGACACAACAAATGGCCAATTTATATAATGGGTCTGCTCTGTCCTCAGTCACCTCCCTTTAGTGCTGGGTTGTTTTGAAGCATATTTTTATATACATTATATCATTTTGTTTTTATTTATTTATGGTATTACTGGGGTTTGGACTCAGGGCCTCATGCTTAGGTAGGCTAGGCAGGTGCTCTACCACTTCAGCCACTCTATCAGTCCTTTTTGTGTTGGGTATTTTTGAGATAGGGTCTCATGAATTATTTGCCCAGGCTGGCTTTGAACCACGATCCTCCTGATCTCTGCTTCCTGAGTAGCTAGGATTATAGGCATGAGCCACCAGCACCTGGCTCATTTTGTTTAAAAAAACTAAAATATTTACCTCTAAAACAAAGGCCATGTCTGGTTATCCTAATATCCAGGCCTTCACAAAGTTGATGCAGTGGCCTGAGGTAGTTTACCTAGCCTATCAAGTGGTTGTTGTAAGAGCAGCCAAACATTAAACAAAATGGTGGATTGGTTTGTATGTATTAACATTTGCTCTGAGGTTTCAGAGGAAACTCTGATGTCTGGGTTTCTGAACTGCACAGCTTGATGCCAAATGAAAGTTTCCTAAGCCACGCATGTGAAGAAAAAGCACTTTTCTAAATCAGAACTTGAGTTCAAACTAAAAAACACAGGTCACAGTGGGCTTTGTTGGAAACCCAGGGTGTCTGTAGCCAGTGCTCCCTAAGCTATTCATCTCTGCAATCCATACTGATAAATCCAGCCGTGCTGTCGATTTGTGACAAACACCCTGTCTAGACTATCTTGAGCTAACCCTCCTATTCTTGCCCTTTTTGCTGAAAAGAGTTATTAGTGCATTTATTTAATTCAGGGCTCTCTACCAGACTTCTGAAGGAAAATGTCAATTATCATGAAACACTTAGCATATTGGGGCTGTTAAATAAGTGTTAAATAATAATAATTACCCTACTGTACTGTTCAGCTGTACTGTCTAGCCACAGCTCCTCTATGAGACGCCCCCTACCCTGCCCCCAGCTTTGGAGGTCCCTATCAGGCAAGCATTCTGGTCCAGTGGTGCTGGCTCCTAGTCACAGACTCAGCAACTCAGCCAGACCTCACAAAGACCTCAGGGCTTAGAATAAATAAACCATGACTAGGGTCTTGTGCACACAGGGTCATTGTGGTCCTTCTAGTTGGCCGCAGTTCTCCTAGGAACACTCAGGGTGGGCAAACAGGAAGAGGTTATTACTGAGGCTATCAGGTCCTCACTAGTGAGCAAGCCCCGCTCTCCTGGCTGGATGGAAGTATCTGAGCCTTCCTTCATTTTTGCCCCACCAACTTTCCATGTGGATTAGATTCTGGAATCTTCATCCCAAAAGCAGATGGAAAAGCAAGACTTGCTACAGCACCACTTTTTTTTTTTTTCCTCCTTGTTGGTACTGGTGATTGAACTCAGTGCCTTGCACTTGCTAGGCAGGCACTCTACTGCTTGAGCCAAGCCTCCAGCCGTATTTTTTTTTCTTTTATCATTCATATGTGCACACAAGGCTTGGGTCATTTCACCCCCCTGCCCCCAACCCCTCCCTTACCACCCACTCCGTCCCCTCCCTCTCCCCCCCACCCCCTCAATACCCAGCAGAAACTATTTTGCCCTTCTAATTTTGTTGTAGAGAGAGTATAAGCAATAACAGGAAGGAACAAGGGTTTTTGCTGGTTGAGATAAGGATAGCTATACAGGGCATTGACTCACATTGATTTCCTGTGCGTGGGTATTACCTTCTAGGTTAATTCTTTTTGATCTAACCTTTTCTCTAGTTCCTGTTCCCCTTTTCCTATTGGCCTCAGTTGCTTTAGTTTCTCTGCGTTAAGGGCAACAAATACTAGCTAATTATTTAGGTGTCTTACCTATCCTCACCCCTCCCTTGTGTGCTCTCGCTTTTATCATGTGCTCATAGTCCAATCCCATTGTTGTGCTTGCCCTTGATCTAATGTCCACATATGAGGGAGAACATATGATTTTTTGTCTTTTGGGCCAGGCTAACCTCACTCAGAATGATGTTCTCCAATTCCATCCATTTACCAGCGAATGATAACATTTCGTTCTTCTTCATGGCTGCATAAAATTCCATTGTGTATAGAGACCACGTTTTCTTAACCCATTCGTCAGTGGTGGGTCCAACCGTATTTTTAAAGATTTATTTTTTCAGTGCTGGAGAAACAAACCTGCTACGCTACTGCTATAGCGCAGCCCTGTATGAAAACTTTTTAGGAAAACCGTAAGGTTAAGAGCTTGGGAAACAAAACAAGACAACAAATGGCAGGTGCTTATGACAAACTCAGCCTCTGGGTGATGTAGAACATTGTAATAGGATGGTTGCAGAGATTGGGAAGTTGCTCTGAAAACTGTAAAATGGTTAGCCATTTCCAGAGGAAGTAGAGAAGGAAAATGACAACACTCTTTTTTTTTCTGTAGTGCTTCTCTGGAAGCAGCTGGCATACGTTTCCAGTTTGTCCTTATCCATGAGGGGGTCATAGAGGCCTCTTCAGGCAGAACAGTTCATTTCTTGAACGTGGACACTTGCTGATTTAAAACCTTTAGAGCTAAGCTGGAACTTAGTGTTCTATTTCTGCTCCCTCTTCCGGGTTTCTGGAAACCCGGCTATGCTTATTCGATTCTCACTAGGGCAGAAAGTGGGTCTTCCCAAAGGGGATAAAGTGGGTGAGCCGTAGGAGCAGACTTTGAGCCCAATTTGGGTAATGCCTCCGAGCCTTGGGTGGCAGACTGTGCATTCAGCTCATTCGTCACTGAGATCGTTACTTGTAGGCACTGTAGCATAGAAGCGAGCGGAACAGTTCTCCCTCTTCATCGAGCTTAAGTTCTAGTGGAGGAGCCAACAAGAAACGAAAGGCAAAGTTTAGGGGCATCAGGGAGACCAAGTGTCTCGATGATCTCGGCAACCAGTTCTTCCACGCAAGCGCGTTGCTAGGGACGCGCTCCGACTGTCGTCTTAGCCCAACAGGGCGGGCGGAGTATCGCGTGGATCTCTGAGACTTCATGCGGGATCTCTCTAGTTGCTGGGCGACAACTCTGCCTTCGTTTTGGTTGAGCGTTTGGCTGCTGGTCGCCGCAGCCCTAATCCGCCGGCGCCATGGTGAGACGAGGCGGGGAATGGGGAGCTGGGCTGGGGTCCGCGCTGGGACCCCGTGCGGGGGTACCGGGAGCCCCCTCTCCCCGGTCTTATTCGCAGACAAAGAGACCCTTGGGCGGAGACGGGGGCACCTGAGCGCACAAAGATCCTGGGATGGGAACGGAGCTCCGGATTCCTGGAATTGAGAACGCGGTGCTCTCGTGGGTCCCGGTGGAGAGAGCCCAGGATGCTGGGACCTTCAGGCACTCGGAGCTGTGCCCACTGGGGTGGTCATAGAACTCTCTCCAAGACCTTGCCTGGTGTGCAAGGTGTTTAAAAGGGAGAACCTGGGTCCATCGCATCCTTGGGGCCAAGGGTTTCACCTCGTAGGAGCTCTGGGGCCCATAAGGGTCCAAAGGGAGGAGAGTCGGGTACGAGGTATACCTTAGGAACCCTGGCCTCCAGGTTGGAGAATCTAGAGCAATACTACGGTTGCTGGAGGTCCCTCCATACCAAGGAGGCCTGGACAGCGGATCCAGTGCCCATGAAGTGCACTGGGAACCACCACAGGGTGCAGGAACTTCTGTTGCCTTGGAGAGCCTCGCAGGAGTCAGGCATTTTCGGAGAAGAGCCAGGCGGGGGCTTGCTGCCTGACCAGGACTTCCTCCTTTATTATACAGGAGTTGTCAGTAACTGAATTTCTAGACATGTGAAGCAGTTGTGGGGGGAAGGCCGGGGGTGGTCAGCTGATGGGGAGGGTACCTCCCTGTGGGCGAGCTCCAGGAGCCCCACCAAGCCCCTGCAGCAGACTGGGATGTCTTAAATACTACATAGTACTGAATCTTCCTCCAAGGCCTTTAGGACCTTCTAATAGGGTGCCTTTTTTGGAGCAGAAGTTTAGAAAGAAAATTCATTAGGAGTTAAGGTTTCAGTGGATGGGACTTTTGAAAACCAAGTTGGAGAAAAAAATCTAAATACATCTGCTTATCACTAGCTTGTGTTAATAGGGTGATTTTCTTCCTCCCTCCCTCCCTCCCTCCTTCCCTTCCTTCTTTTTTCACAAGGTCTTGATATGCTGTCCATGCTGGCTTTGAACCGCTCCTCCCCCAGCTTCCAAGTAGCTGAGATGACAGGCATATACCTATGCACTTGGCTTGTTTTTTCTTTTTCTGTGTTGTTTTCTAAAGTTTCCTTACAAAATTGATAATCATAAGAATATTGCAAAGACATGTAGAATATAAAAGCCCAGACTGAAGAGAGTTGGGATTAGCAAAGGCAGAAGGATAGAGTTTTGGAATGTCAGTATCTGCTTGAATGCCTGTAGGAAGAGTGTGTGTGTGTGTGTGGGTGGGGGGAAGGTTCTTTCTTTGAACGTTGAACCAAACATGTCTCCATGAGGAGTTTAATCTAATAACCCATTTACAGAGCACCCACAGTGGGTACTATTTGCTTTTTTTTTTTTTTTTTTGTGGTACTGGGGTTTGATCTCAGAGCCTCAAACTTGCTAGGCAGGCTCTCTACCACTTGAGTCACTCTGCCAGCTTGACCAGGGTTTTCTGAAGGGGTTTTATGTTTGGAAGAAAGGAAGCCTCATATTTTCATAACCGATCTTTGCTATGGGGTAATTTTTCTCTATATTTGTTGAACAGTTTCTTGCAGGTCTTTCTATGGTGGTACCAAGCATTATAGCCAATATGCTAATATTCAGCAGTGTGGTATTAGGGGTCCTTTTTATGGAGCCGAAGTAAATTTTGCATTCACACAAAGAAGTCTTTGCCGTATTTACCCTAACTCTTCCTTGTAGTAGGAGAAAATGTACTTTTCTGAAAAGATTTCTCCTTTGTGCACCTCTGAATGTGCTAACAGGGTGTGTGTGTGCTTAATAGTGGGAAAAATGAGGACAGTGATGTGTCCCATATGAGTGCTCTTATTGGGAGGCACAAGAGAGTGAGCAGTAGGAATAGAGATATTTGCTCCCAAATGCCCACAGGAGCAAATCAGAGCCAGCCAAGAGAGGGAAGCCATTTGGCAGAGTGCCCTTTACTTACACAATTATCTTTTCTTTCAACAAAGGCACCCAAAAAGAAGGGGAAGAAAGGCAAAGCGACAGGCACTACTGTTGTTGATGGACTCGCTCCGGAGGACATGAGCAAGGAGCAGGTGAGCAGAGCCTGTGCTGCCAATCCCAGGCTGAGGTGGGAAATGCTCTAGGCATCTTGACCAATGCCTTACTATTTCCCTGCTCATCCATCTCCCTTTAGTCTGCATCCTCCAATTCTGTCCAAAGCATAATATGCCTCTTACATGTCCCTAATTCCTATCAGCTCTGCAACTTTCAGATGAATACATATTTTAAAAGATGTGATGCAGCCTCAGTAAGGAAGTTTTTAACAGGGTGGTAGAATATTAGAAGGAGATTTTTCTTTCCCCCTGATATAATAGCTATCTTTAACTTTATTTCCTTTCAGTCTTTTTTTGTTTTTAATTTTAATTTTTTGGTGGGACTGAGGTTTGAATTCACAGCTTTGTGCTTGCAGGAAGCCATACCTCTAATCCCCAGTCTTACCTTTTTACGTACCTGATATTTACAAAGTTGTTACTATAGTATGCATATATGACAGTCTCCTTTGTTTACTAGTAAACATTGAACAAAAAGTTTTTGAAGGGAACATGAGTTACCTAAAGTTACTTTGTCTCAGTTTTATTAATTTTTCATTGTTTTGTTTCATTTTAGACAAAAGTTCCAACAAGGAATTAACATCAGGGCTGCCTTTTACTTTTGGGGTGTGGGGGGAGACGAAACTGGGGATGGAACCTAGGCCTTGTGCATGTTACGCAAGTTCTACCACTATATACTAGTCCTGGGATGACTAGTAACCTGGGATGACTTTATAGTTTCTTTGAAGGAATTATTTTAAGCTAATTGTCTTATTTCCATACAAATGGCTACAAAACATAGTTATGTGATTACAATTTTACTTCAAAGGCTTTTAAAAATTTCAACATGTGGCAGGCATTGTGGATCTTCTACCTCCTGGCTTGTGAGCATCTGGCATAGGACCTGGGGGCTTTGTATGGACTTGTGTGATAGTGATAATAGACATTACCTCTTTTTGATAGTTTAAGATTAAAGGAGACTGAAAATCATGTGAACTGAAGTTGGAGCTAGGCAAAGGCCCTGAACATTGGTGATGAGTGCTTTATTTTATGTGCAGGAAAATCATTGGCAGTTTAAGCAGACGGGTGGTGGGATCAAATTTGTGTTTTGGAATAATCATTGGATGATGGAGAATGGATTGAATGTCACAGTGCCCCAACACATGAGCTGTTTCTTGCACCCTATTTTTTTCTTCTTTTTTTTTTTTTCAGTACTAAGGCTTGAACTCAGGGCCTACACCTTGAGCCACTCCACCAGCCCTTTTTTGTGAAGAGTTTTTTTGAGATAAGGTCTCGCAGAACTATTTGCCTGGTCTGACTTTGAACCGGGATCCTCCTGATTTCTGCCTCTTGAGTAGCTAGGATTACAGGTGTGAGCCAGTGGTGCCCAGCCCTTCTCATTTATTTCTTATCCCTATGGAGACAGTACTTTGACACAGCAGTGTCAAAGTACATTGACAATCTGCAGAGCAGGGACTGGCCATCATGCGCTGTATGTTTGAGGCACAGACTTGGAAGCCTCTGGAATCCAGCAGTAAGTCAGGGACTGGGGTGACCTGGAGATTTGTACTCCCTGCAGAGCACAGCTACAGTCATTTCACTGGGTGGTTGCCCTGTGGGCACTGGACTCTAGTGTTCTTTTCTGATTTTTCAAAAGAAACTAGAAATTTGGATATTCGTAAGAAGTCTAAACATTGAGTGATGGCTCACCAACACTATGTGTGCAGCAATTCTGTTTTCAGCTCTGAGTGACATTAAAAGTCTGTGATGGGAAGACATTTGTCATTTTGCTGGGGCACTAGTCAGATTCTGGGGTGCTATGCTTCTTCATGGTGACCCAAGCCCCTGTCTAGTGTTCTCACCTCAGATCCCCTTGATTGGTTGTTGTTTTGTGTTTCTCTTGAAGTAAGAAATGTGGTTTCCCTATGAAGAAAGTGGTTTTACCTTACAGTAAGTGCCCTGGGGCTGTATCCAGAGATACCAAATTCCTAAGGGAAGTGAGATCCCAAGAAATCTGAAAGCATGTCCTACTTATCTCTTTAACCTATTTGCAGATTTGCAATTGACTCTGGATCAAACCCTTTTGAGTATTAGGAGTTACTGTTTTTTTTTTTTTTTTCTTAACACTGTGTCTTCAAAGGTTATTTTTTCTTATTTGACATTACATGTTGATATCTGCATGCTGCTCTTGTGTTTTTTTGAGAAGTTTCTTTAGTATAAATTTCCAGGAATTGCTGAGAAGATATAATTGTTCTATGATTGTTGATCAAATTCAAGGTAATTCTGATATTTGCTAGAGTCTTTCATATTTTAACTTTTAGTTCATATTTTTTTGGTAAGATGGCTTTCCTTTTTTCTTCCTTGCCTTTCTTTGTCCACACAGCCCTGGTGGTAGATGGGCTTCCTCTGGGTGCCTCACCTGACACCCTGTGCTTGGTTAGGTGGAGGAGCATGTCGGCCGAATCCGGGAGGAGTTGGACCGAGAGAGGGAGGAGCGCAACTATTTCCAGCTTGAGCGGGACAAGATCCACACCTTCTGGGAGATCACTCGGAGGCAGCTGGAGGAGAAGAAGGCCGAGCTGCGAAATAAAGATCGGGAGATGGAGGAGGCAGAGGAGAGGCACCAGGTGGAGATCAAGGTGAGTGGGACTGGCCTGCCTGTGCCTACTGGGGTTATCCTTCAGGAGCACAGGAGCAGACTGGAGTGATAGGGTGGGGAAATTTTCTGTATTTGCTTTGGGGTCTCAGTCTCTTGTGTGTATTCTTTATGATGGAAACCTGAAAGTGATTTTTTTAAATGAGGCCAAGCGAAACTCCAGGGGCAGGACAGGCCCTGCAGATCCTAAATGTTTGAATCATAGCCTCCACAATGCGGCAGGAGTGCAGGCTCTGGGGGCAGGCTGACCTCCTTGCAGCCTGGCTCTGGCATTTAGTTCCAGGTGAGCTGGGCATGTGCCTCACCTGCTACCTTGGTGTCCTACTCAGTGCCTTAGATGTGCAGGTGTGTGCAGCTGTGTGCAGATGGTACCCTCTGTGCCTTGCAGGTGTACAAGCAGAAGGTAAAGCACCTGCTATATGAGCACCAGAACAACCTGACTGAAATGAAGGCTGAGGGCACCGTGGTCATGAAGCTGGCACAAAAGGAGCACCGCACACAAGAGGGCGCACTGCGCAAGGACATGCGGGCGTTGAAGGTGGAGCTCAAGGAGCAGGAGCTGGCCAATGAAGTGGTGGTGAAAAACCTCCGGCTGGTAGGTATCACGAAAGGACTGGGGTTGCTGGGCTGTGGGGACAGTGAGCCTAGTACTGCCTGAACTGATCGCTCAACAACAGGGAATTCATGTTATGTGTAAAATCTCCAACTTTTTTTTTTTTAAGACAAGATCTCACTACGTAGCCCAGGATGACCTCAAATTCATGATCTTCCTGCTTCAGTCTCCCGAATGCTGGAATCACAGGCATGCACTGCCATGCTGGGCTGGTTACTTTTGAGGCTGGTATTAATCCTTTCTGAGGGACACTGGTGGTTTCCAGGTAGAGAGTGGAGACTGAGATTCTTTTGTTGAGAGCCAGCCTGTTAGGTGCTAGCCCTGATCTGGTCTCTGACGAATACCTGCCCAAATGGGGTGGATGGTCCAGAAAGGAGAGAGAAGATGGGGCTGGGGAGGTGGCTTAGTGGGTGAGTGCTTGCCGAGCATGTGCAAGGCCCTGGTTTCAATCCCCAGCACTGCAGGGGGCAAAAAAAGGGGAGAGACAGCATAGGGTAGAAGACAAAGTAAATGTGTCTAATGCCTCAAGTTTGGCTGGTGGGGATGAGTACTCTGGGTAGAGCAAGGTGAGGTGGGTACAGGAGATGGAAGGGGGAGTGGCAATGTTCTACAAGGGTTCCAGGAATGCCTCATAGAAAAGGCAACATTTGCACAAAGTCTGGAAGGGCATAGGTAACCAGGCTATGGGAAGGCTGGTGAGAAAACCGAGCCAAGTTTGATGCTCACGTCTGTTACTGACTCACCGTCTCTCAGGCTCAGAGACTTCACTTGCTGAGAGAAGTGAGTTATGGAATGTAGAGGTTATGAAAGCTCTGTTTCTCTGGGCATGCCCATGAACTTGGAGATGAGGGAACCCATCAATCCTCATCAGTAGCACAGTGTTGACTGAGTTTTTCCCAGTTGACCTAAGGGAAGTGAGAGAGCCCCTCACTCTGTCTGTATAGTAACTTATCACCACTCTCACCTATGCAGAAACACACTGAGGAGATCACCAAGATGCGGAACGACTTTGAGAGGCAAGTTCGAGGTCAGTTTCTCACATGCACATTGTATAGGATGGTGTTAAGAGACCCCCTGCTATAAGAAAGCAATTTACCTCCAGAGCTTGTTCTGTCAGGGCACATAGGCAAATTAAAATAGTCTACATGCAGAGAGAGAGAGAGAGAGAGAGAGAGAGAGAGAGATAGACCTACTCAGAATCTCAGAACAACTCATTCCCATGGGAGTTTGGGGGCTGTGATTACCACATATTTCCCCACTCCTGTCTAAAATTGGCAGTTAACAGAAGGCAGTGCTTATTCAGTCTCATGGACAGCACTCTTTGAATATTCTTCTCTATGGCTCCTGGCCTGAGGACGCTCCAGCTTTAGAAGTCTGTCTGATTTAGTGTCAAGCCCTGTGGTCTGGGACTGGATGGTCACACAGACCATGGTTATTGTCTACTGGGATTAGGTGACAGTGTTGGGAGCTCCAGTGTAGTCATTGATTACCTATGCCTGTCACTGGCAAAGGAAGGCCAGCAGTGGCCGGTGTGCTGAATATGTCACCTGTGAGCATCAGGGCTGGGGGATCTAGCTCAGTGGTTAAGTGTTTGCCTACCATGTACAAGGCTTTGGGCTTGATCCCCAGTACTATAAAAAAACCAAAACTAAAATAAACAAACAAACAAAAACGACATGTAGATCATCAGCAGGAAAAACTGCCTAAGTGGAGTTCGGCAAACCTTGTTTGTGCAGCCTTTGTTTTTTATCCTGACGGGTGTTCTTGGGCCCAGGTTACAGTTCCATTGTTTTTTTTTTTTTGCCATTACAGGGCTTGAACTCAGGCCTCACACTTGCTAGGCAGGTGCTCTACCACTTGAGGCACACCTCCAGCCCTTTTGTGCTTTAGTTATTTTTCAGATAGGGTCTTGTGTTTTTCCCTGGGGCCAGCCTGAGACTACAGTCTTCCTGCTTATGGCCTTCCTCATAGTTGCAATCACAGGTGTGCGCCACCACACCCATATTATTGATTGAAATGGGGTCTTGCTACTTTTTGCCTGGGTTGGCCTTGAATAGAGATCCTTAGATCTCCGCCTCCGAAGTAGCTGGGAATACATGTGTATGCCATCGGTGCCCAGCTCTTCCATCTATTCTTTGGGCTCAGGGCCTCATGCTTGCTAGGCAAGTGCTCTATCATTTGAGCCATTCTGCCAGTCTTCTTCCATCTATTCTTGAAGCCACTGGGTACCTGTTCTTCCTCTGCCAAGCTGCTGTGTGTACTTCTGCCTTTTAGAAATTGAGGCCAAGTATGATAAGAAGATGAAGATGCTGAGAGATGAGCTTGACCTACGGAGAAAGACTGAGATCCATGAAGTGGAGGAGAGGAAGAACGGCCAGATCAATACGCTGATGCAGCGTCACGAGGAGGCCTTCACTGACATCAAGAACTACTACAATGACATCACGCTCAACAACCTGGCCCTCATCAACTCCCTCAAGGTGCTGATTTGGGCTTGGAGACACACTCTGTCTGTCCTAAGATAGGTCACAGAGTTCAGGGCTGCAGACCCAACTCCCCTTTCTGTAGAGGTAATTGAACGATGCCTCTCTGCTTTCCTCAGCTGAAATTTGTAAGCAACTTACCCTATCTACACTTATAATTGAAAGCAATCAAGATGTTTCCCTAACTGCAGTGTGGGGGAGGTAATAATATAAAGGGTTTTCTGACATGTCCATGCCTGGGCAGAGCTGCAGTAGGCACCACACCATGGTCACAGTGCAACTACAATGGGCAGTTGTCATTGTCTCTCAATGCTGGCAGTAGCTTGGTTTTTCCCAGGGAAGAGTGGCTCTTAGTGGAATCCTGAACAGAGTGCAGCTCTCAGTTTTCATGGAAGTTGACTTCCTAGAAAATTTAAAATTTATTAAGAGTGTAAAAATACTGATTGTTTGTAAAACTATACGTCAGTCAGTGTGCTTGACTGGCAAGACCCATTTGTGGTCAGGAGGGCACCCAGCATATGCTACTAGGCTGATCTTCTGGCACACCTGCACTGTATCAACAGGAGCAGATGGAGGACATGCGGAAGAAGGAAGAGCACCTGGAGAGGGAGATGGCAGAGGTGTCCATGCAGAACAAGCGGCTGGCAGAGCCTCTCCAGAAGGCACGGGAAGAAATGAATGAGATGCAGAGGAAGCTTGGGTACTACGAAAGGGACAAGCAGATCTTGGTTGTGAGTTTCCTGCTGTGGAATTCTCCCTTCTTCTTCTTTTTTGGGATTGGGGTTTGAACTCAGGGCTTTGTACTTGCAAAGCAGGTGCTCTACTGCTTGAGGCACACCTCCATTTTGCTCTGGTTATTTTGGGGATGGGATCTCATGAACTGTTTGCCCAGGCTGGCCTTGAACAGTGATCCTCTTAATCTCAGCCTCCCAAGTAGGTAGGTTTATAGGTGTGAGCTACTGGTGCCTGGCTTCTTTCCCTTCTTAACCTTCCTGGGTTCATGAAAAAAAGGTCGTGAGTGAACAGGTTTCAGGCCTTAGGCAGGAAGGGAGCGCTTGGGAAGGTGGACTCTTTCTTTCCTTTGACAGTTCTCCTGGGACTGTAAAGTGGGTGGGTGCTGTGGGGAATGAGGCCCTGGTCTTCTGCTTATCACATGGACTGGCCTGGGTGGGCCCAACTGCTGGAGTCTTCAAGCCACCATTCCTGGTATCTTTCTGTCCTTGCCACCTCCCAGGAGTCTGTTACATGGGTTCCTGTGTGTCCTGAGTTCTTTCTGTCCCCCACTCCCTATTTTCTTACAGTGCACAAAAGCACGTTTGAAGGTTACTGAGAAAGAGCTGAAAGACCTGCAGTGGGAACATGAGGTGCTGGAGCAGCGGTTCATCAAGGTGAGCAGGTGTAGATGCCTTGGCTAGTCTCTGGGTTTGGGAGCTGCAGGTCCACCTGCTTGCTCCTCACTCTGTGTAGCTTTTTTTTTTTTTTTGAGACAGGGTCTCACTGTTGACCAGCCTGGTCTTGAAGTCATGCGCTCAAGTCATCCTCTCACCTCAGCTTCCTGAGTAGCTAGGACTACAGTCATACATGCTGAACTCAGGGCCTTACCCTTGCTAGGCAGGCACTCTACCACTTGATCCTCTCCCCCAGTCTGTGCATACAGCTATTATGAGGCAAAAACCTGTGTTGTATTCTGTAGGTGGCCTAGGATCTCATAGGGAGCAAGTTCTCTGATGGGGAGTGGCCCTTCTGTCTTCTCAGAAGCTGGCTGGTCAGTATGTGGAGGAGGCCTGGCCCCCGGCAGCAACTTCCTTATTGTTTGTTTGTGTGTTTCTGGGTCTAGGCCTATTACTTACTCGTGGTAAAGGTGTTATGGGTTCCTCAAGCATATTTATAACATGAGCATTTCCTTGGCTCAGCTGTGGTCCTCACAAGAGGGGATAATTTAGTGAGCCTCCTTCCAGGCTTCTGCACACCCTAGTGTAGATGTGACTTTATCCTTTATAAAGATGGGATCATGTCATAAAAGCAACTTGCATTTTAATATTACTGTGTCTCCTGGTTGCTAATAGAAAGCAGCCTCCTTGCTTTTAACAGCCCCCTGGTGCTCTTCACATGTCTGCTCACTTTGTAGCCAATTGCCCTTGGTGAGCACCTCTTTGTTTCCAGTTCTTTGCTGTTACATGCATTGCTGCCACAGTTATCCTTTCAGATTGGTCTCTATGCATCTGTGTGATCTCTTTTAGGAATGTCAGTTCCTTGAAGTGGAAGTGCTGGGGCAGAGGGGTGAGAGCTCAAAATTCTGATAGTCTGCCAGGAGGGCTGCTCTGGGTTATACTCCTGACAGCAGCGCCTGAGGGCTGCTTCCTGCTCCTCCTGCCTGCATTGGATCTACTGAATGTAAGCCTTTGCTGATGTGATGGGGTGGAAAATATCTTTAATGTGCATTTCTGAGATTCTCGTGAGTTGTGTGATTGTCGTCTGTCCTTGCAGATGCCCTTCCTTGCTTCTGCAGTGGCCTGAACATTTATTTCATCCATGAGCCATGGCCACTAGAAAATTAATGAATGCAGACCAATAATAGGATTGGCCCTGTCTCCCCCAGACCAGGCTCCTTAGGAATATGCCATCCACTGTTCTGAGGCAGTGAGTGCCTTGCAGGATGTGACCTGCCAGGCTGTACCACTGTCAGCCACAGACCTGTGCAGACAGCCTAAGGGCCAGCCCTGAGTCATGCTGTGTTATGCAGGGCCCCCTTTTTCTTCCCTGTGAGTTTTAAGGCTGGCATTAGTGGGACAAGGAGAGCAGAGATGTGCCTGGGTTGCAGCCTGTGTTTTCTGCCACATCTCTTTCCACTTGAATGTGGCTTGGGATATGCACCAAAGTCAGTGTCTCTGACTTGAGCCAATCCCAGCTGTGCAGGAGGCGTAGGCAGGAGGATCATGGTTTGAGACCAGCCCCAGGCAAAAATGTTAGACCCTATCTGAAAAATAACAAAGCCAAAGGGATTGGGAGTGTAGCTTAAGTGGTAGAGCATCTGCCTAGCTTTGAGTTCAAACCCCAGTACTGTGAAAAAAAATTTAAAAATAAATAAAAAAAAAATACTGCAGTATTGTAGCATGATACTGTTTCTTCCCTAACAGTAATATACCTTTTTTTTTATGAGTGTAGAACATCCTGGAAGAAACACAAAAGGGTTATAGCAGTGGCCTCTTGGAATTTGGCTTAAAGGCTGTTTACTTTTTACTGTAAAGTCCTGAGTTTTTACAGTGCATGTTAATAGGTTGAAGGGTAGGAAATGGGAAGGGATAGTCTTACCGGTTGACAGACATTTGATGCAAGGTTTGCTGTAGAGGAGCCAGCTTGTGGGGCATGTCAATGGCATGGGCCCTCCACGGGCCCCACCTGCAAACATTCTCTATTGGCAGTGCAATGCTTTGGTTCTCACATTGGGAGACACATCTCAGCTGTACCCATAAGCCCTAACTTGGGCGAGGCTGGCCCTGATCCACCTGTGGAATGGCTTTTAGGGTAGGGCTATTCCAGCTGTTAGTAGGATGCCTCACTGCTTCTGAGAGGAGCATTTATACTGATGTTTCCTTCCTGTCTTCCACTGTGTGGACAGCTGTCCATCTTCAGTTCTGTGCACAGAGAGTAGATTACAGCAGTGAGCATGGCACAAAGACCTATGTGCCATGGGTATGGCACTAGTTAAAATGACCCTTCTGTAGAAACAGCATGCTCTGGTAGGCATGGAAGGTAGCTTCTCCCCAGTGAGACGTCTTCAGGCAAGGGCCCTTGACACCTACCACTGCCTTGTCCCCACAGGTGCAGCAGGAGAGGGATGAACTCTACCGGAAGTTCACTGATGCCATTCAGGAGGTGCAGCAGAAGACGGGCTTCAAGAATCTGATGCTGGAGCGTAAGCTGCAGGCACTGACTGCTGCTGTGGAGAAGAGGGAAGTGCAGTTCAACGAGGTGCTGGCATCGTCCAACCTGGACCCTGCAGCGCTGACGCTTGTGTCCCGTAAACTGGAGGTAGGGCCCGGTGGGCTACCTAGGAGGCACCCACACTTCTGCTCAACATGCAGCTTTGTCTCTTGTGGTGGAACTCTTCATACTGTGCTGTGCCTCCTTATAGGACACAGACCCCTCAGTTAGCTGTAGGGCAGGGCACCTGTGGTTGCCACAGTGGGGTAGCTGCAGGTATCTGTGTCCTGGCCTGTGTGTGCTGGCAGTTTTCTCTCACATGTCTTAGCCCTTTCTTAATCTCATGGCATCTTGGAACCTCTGGGCTTCTGCCATTCTAGTTCTGTAGAATCCTTCATTGTGGTATGCCAAGGTACTAGTTTCCACATAGAGCCTGGTGACCTGGGAATAGAAAAACCACTCTCAGAATCTGTAGGCCTGAGTTCTTCTATCACTTGAGACAGACCTAGACACAGCTGAGAGGCCCCCAGGATGGCCTGATTTAGGACATCGACAGGATAGGGAAAGTGTAGGGCTGTGGGGCCTTTGGGGTCTAACTTAGATTTCACTGCCTTTGTAGGTGTTGTGAAGTGAGATCTGAGCAGAGTCCAGAATATTCACTCATGTGTGGGGACAGTAAATAAAACAGATGAGGTCTCAGGCCCCACTGGCCAGCTCATGAGACAGAAAGATACACGATCAGATGAAGGATCAGGAGACTGGAATTTCCTGCAGAGCCTCCCAGCTTACCTATTAAATTTATCAACTTCTGTTGCTGCGAAGAGGCATGCTGAGGGTGATTGCAAAGGCCTGTCAGCCTTTCACTGAGTTGTCCTGGGGAGCACCCAGGCATTGGGGAATTCAGGCTGAGGATGATTGTAATGACCTGTCAGCTGTACCCATGAGTTTAGCAATAGTTGGGAACCACAGAAGGTTCTGGACATGGAGGATCAGGTCAGAGAGAGCTCATTCTACCTCAGATGGGGAATGTAGGGCTGGAGGGATTAGATAGGCCAGTGCAGAATGAGAAGAGCAAAGGGTCCCAGAGCTATCGAGTAGCTGATTCAACAGGACTCAGTCCTAATTGAGGAAGGGTCACTTTGGACCCTCCCAGGCCCTCCTCCATGCTTTTGTCTTTAACTGCTGACACATCTGTGTGGATGCATACATGGGTTGAGCCAGACCATTATTCCCTGGGCCTATCAGGACCCCCAAGGAACCCCCTATTTGCCTTGGAAGAATGAGTCAAGTCTCAAACTCATCCCTGCTTGTTTCCTCAGGATGTTCTGGAATCAAAGAACACCACCATCAAGGACTTGCAGTATGAGCTGGCCCGTGTCTGCAAGGTATGGACATGTCCTAACCCTGCCTTCTCCCTCAGGACTGTGCCCTCATACCTGGGTGCAGCCAGTGACAGCCTAAATGCAGACAGTCTCTGAGGATTCCACCTATTTCTGTTGGCTGCACACCTCCTTTATGAGGTGGGTGTGACTGTCTCCATTTGAGGTGCGGATACAGCCCAAGGGCATTTACACCTGCCCAAGGTCACTCAGCCTGTCATGTGGCTGTGGCACTGTACTGGCCATTGTTCTGAGATTGCTTACAGGCCTGCCCTGCATGCTTGGGGCTCTGCCCGCTGTGCTGTCTTAGTCTGTTCCTCCCTCCCCCAACTGTGCTGACCTGTCTTCTCAGGCAGTTGGAAGGGGCTCTTCTCCCCTGGATTAATGTCTACTGCCTTCAGCACAGGGCAGTAGGGCTGTAATCTTTTTTGACCCCTTTCTGACTTTTTTTTTAATTTGGCCATACTGGGGTTAAAACTCAGGGCCTCACGCTTGCTAGGCTTTTACCCCTTGAACCACTCCACCAGCCCCTACTTTGTGAATTTGATAAAAGTTACACAATTCTTTGTGTGCTGAACAGACACATCAGTAGACTCCTGCAGTTTTAGGGGTGAGGGTCAGACTTGACACTAATGGCTGGACCCTGACCATCATTTGTCCCACATGCCTGAGAGAGACCTGGCTCTGTGTCCCTGAACCAGTTGCTCTGTCTGTACTGCCCGCTGTCTGCACAGGCAAAGTAGTGTGGACCTCACGTCCTGGTTCTGTTGTTTAGGGCCATGTCCAGACATTCCTGTCATCTCGTTTTTTAAGAGTTCTGGACACAGTCAGTGCCTATCACAGGTTCCCAGGCTCCATGGTGGTCAAACTACCCTAGTCTTTCTGCTTCCCCAAACCACACGCCAGGCCCCATCCTCAGCCTTTGTGTGTCACACCTTTTCCCCAGATGCTGGTACTTGTCTGTGGAAAAGTAGGGCTTTCTGTTGTGTGTGTAGTTCCTGGGGTAAATATTCATGGCTTCTATCTGATTCTTGGGGGTTCTGAACCAAGAAAGGATGAGAACCAGGCAGTAGCCCTTAGGTTTCTCAGGGGTCCATCCTCGTTTACCCTTTAACTCTCAATCTAAGTCCCTGCATTGTTTTCTGGACCATGGCAAAGATAACTGACCTGGAGTATTCACTCTTGAATCATGCCAGGCTCCAAGCATTTCTCAAATTAATTAATCAAACTTTATAAATCATCCAGTGAAATTTGCTCTTTTAAAAATACCCATTTTCCAGAGGGGCAGCAAAGACTGTGGCATGGGGATGGAAGGCACTTGCCTGTGTGGGCCCATCAGCACTGTTACCCAGACCGTCTCCTGGGATGGGTTAAAGCAACCTGGAGCCTTTTTTAGGCAGACTGTGCACCATGTGAAGATGCACTTGCTAGGGGGTCTG